AGAAGTTACTGAGGAAGGACAGAGCAATCAGCCTCATAAATAAATCTAGTAGGTCTCTTCTTGCTCTTAAAAAAGGAATTGCTGGGAAATTCTGATAAACCAGCTGTCTTTTCTTGAGTATTGCCTGAATTCATTACACGTTTAAAACTTCTCTCCAATTTGGTGGCCAGCCTTTCCAGTCTGTGAGATGGGCTGAAAAATCCCAAAGGACTGGGAAACAGAGAGCTTGCATTTCTGTAGAGAGGGGCAGGATGAGTGGAATTCCTGCCCTGCTCTCTCTTGGAGCCTGCACCAGCTTTACCGCAATAGGCAATAGAAGGGCAAATCCATCTCCTGCTTTCCTTTCCCGCAGGACAGCGGGCTGCTAACAGGAGGACACGGCTGAATGGCCTTGGCAAGGAATATTTTGAGCTTATTTCCCTCAGCAGAACTGTTTGAAGGCTTATGGATTGTAATGGGAGGCAGCTGGAGAGGCTCTTCCCCTGCATGTTCCCCATGGCAATGGGTCTCATTCATTTGCTTCACTCTGCGATTCCCAGGATGTGGCTCTTGAAGTAAATTCAATTGACAGTAAATCCCTACCAGTCTCACTGTAGGACTGCAAGTTGAACATCATTGCTTTAGCATAAATCTTTACAAGAGATGTTAATGTTTGGTTAAAATATGCAAATATTTACTGACTTGTCTACTGTTTGTCAGCTTGGCATGCGAGACCTTGGATCTGATCCTTCTGTCTTGGCAGACATTGGGAATTTTGCCAGTAACATTAATAGGAACAGCATTGTGCCCTCTAATCTGTTTGTTTATGAAGTACAGCGAGAGTTATCTGGCTAGATGCTTTACAGTGAATTGAAAAAGCATCTGTTTGAAATTTTTTTAGGAACTGTCACATGCTTTAACTTATTATTATCTTAGTGTATGGACCCTTTGATTCCATGAAACACATCAGTAAGATGTGGAGCATGGAAGCGCACAGTCATGAGTTAAACTGCCGTGAAACGCTGGAATTTTAGTTCATGATGTTCTCTCCTCCTACATCGTTTTTAATTTGAAGTTGGACTCATCAGACTGTGGAGTAGCTCTTCAGAGCCTCCTGTGCACCAAGCAGGCGTAGTGTTTACTTGGAAATAAATGACTGTGTGGATCACGTTGTTTATCACTCTTCCTTCTCAAGCTGTCCCTTCTGCCTTTTCCAGCCCCCTCTGCAGCTCTGGAGGGGAAATGTGCAGCTTTATTTGGAGACTGGATTTTAGTTACTCTTTCCATGTTTGTTTACAAAACCCCTTTGGCAAGAAGGTGGAATACTCATTAGGAATATTGAGCCTGAAAATCATTAGTTGTAGGAGGAAAAAAATGTCATGGCTAGTTGTAAAAGCCACCAAGGTTTAAGTTACACCAGTTGGAACTAACAGGTCTTTGAAATAACATTTTGTGGAAGATAAGCTGAGTAAAATTTGGCTTTCAATGAAATGCAAGTTCAGTAAGTTCTCTTGTACTTAAGGGCAGGAGTTTTTTTGAGATACAAAGTATGATGCCAGATTATATATTTATATATATAATTTCTTAGGTATGTCTACCCATTTTAGATATGCAACTTTAGATAGTGAGAATATGCCTCTTTACTGGCTCTTCAGTATTTTGAAGATGTGTTAAACTTCAGTAGAGGATAAATTATTTCTCAGAATTGAATTTAAAACTCATTTGGCGTGTGGTTTTCCAAATCTGTTTGAGAAAATGAATAATCCTGATGTTTGTTCTGTTACATGTTAGTATTTTAAGTTCAGTTTTGGAGACAGAAGTGAAGCCCATAAGGAATTTGTTCAGTTTTGCAAAGAGAGTTGGGAGTATAGTACAGGGCTTGTGACGCTTCAGCTTTCAGTTCTAATCTGTAATAAATTCTACTTTTAGAGCGAATGTAGAAATTCCTATTTTATACCTGAAATCTTGAAAATAAAGATATGTGTAGAACAGAAAATAAATTTCTTTTGACAAGTACCTTCGCTCCTTGGCTGTTAATGAATGTTAATGAAATATTCTATGAGTACATTAAGGTTGGAAAAGACCTCGAACGTAGAGTCCAGCGTTTGACCAAATACCACTGTGACAACTAAACTATTTTGTGAAGTGCACTTGTATTTTGAGCACTTCCAGGAATGGTGACTCCATCACTTCCCTGGGTAGCTCATTCCAGTGCTTAACCACTCTTGCAGTGGAGAAATTTTTCCTCCTGTTCAACCTAAACCTCTCTTGGTGCAGTTTGAGGCTGTTTCCACTTATGCTGTCACTTCTTCCCAGGGAGCAGAGCCTGACCCCCACCTGGTCACCTCCTTTCAGACAATTATAGGGATTGAGAAGGTCCCCCTGATTTCTCCTTTTCTCCAGAATGAGCCCCAACAGCTCCCTCAGCTGCTCCTGATCACTTCAGCCCCTTCCCCAGCTCATTCACATTCACAAATCTCATTGCTGATTTAGGGAACCAAAACTAGGAAAAAAGGTTTCTGAAGTCAGCAGGAAAAGTCAGATGTCTCCAAGGAATAGTCCAGAGCTGGATTGGAGTCTGAAGTAAATGGCACAAATATCTAATAAATGTGTATGTTTGAATCTGCAGGTATGGCTATAGATGGGATTGAAATGAAATCTGAGAGCCTGAGTGCATCATTTTCCGTATGTTGTCCACATACTGGTTTTGTTATAATTTGATTTTTTTCGAAACAAATTACACTGCAGTGCCTCCTTATCAATGTGTCCCATGCACTGTGATTTTGGTGGATATTTGAAATACCATTGGTGTGATTCACTTTAGCCAGTTAACCAACAGCTTGGTCCTTAATGCTCTTGCTTCCACTTAATTCACAGGATTTTGCTCATGGTCAGTTATGTCCTCTGAAGTGCTCTGGAGTCTTCAAATTGACCAAAGAAATTATGTGGGCGCTGCTGGGTGTGTAAAACCCAGCTTCTCAAACAGATGAGTTCTGTATTTCTCCACCAGTCAGCAAAAGGCAATTGATAAAGAACATCTTTGTCTTTTACATGGTGCCATGCTGGGGGAGAAGAGCTTTCAAATCTGTCAGCTGTGCTAGCCAGGTCACTTAGGATGGGATCTGTGTTTAATCAGCTCTTTGGGAATAAACACACAGAAGCTCTGCTCAGCCTTTTGGTCAAAGGAATTTTGGTTATATGTCAGCCAGGAAGTGAGGAAATCAGAAGTACAGCAGAGTTCATGGAGTCCTCTATTTTCAGTCCCTTAGGAAGAAAACAGAATGTACATGAGAAAAACATCAATTAACTGTTGTGTCACTGTGGAAGCAGATCCTTGATTTGTGAAATACACGGTGGCCTAAAATGGTAGTGAAGTGGAAACCAGTGCAATTTTTAGTTGTATCTAGAAAAGATCCTTGCATACACAGCTGAAGAATAACTAACATTTATGTAATTGAAAATATGTGCTTAAGTGATCCAGCTGAATCTTTAATAGAATTACCTCATGAATGAATTTACTCATATGTATGGAAATGCAAAACCTACTTGCCTGTTCCTATTGTTTGAAAATGTGGACTTATTTTTAGCAGAAAAAGAATTATCTGGATGAATGAGGTAATATTTTGTAAGGCTGTTATTAAGAAAGAGGCACACGTCACAGATTTGTACCAGGATAACTGCAAAATATTCATGCTTATATTCCTTCATTTTAGAGAAGATTTTTTTGTTGTTGTTGTATATGAGAAATTTTTATGTTAGTTTTGTGAAAGGGAAGCTGGTTTAAATCTTAAAAAAATCAGTATTCCTTTATGTAATTATTTTGATACTGAATGGAAATTTAAGAATAGAACGCTATGTTGTATAATATATGAAAAGACTTGTTTGCATTTCTTCATACTGTTGGCTTAGGCATGTGTTAATGGGAAAAGTGGGATAATGGATTATTTTTCATATGAGGAAAATGCATTTATTTGACTTTACATTCTTGAAGTTACTTTACCTTTGGTTGAAAATCTGAAATACCAAGTATAAAGAAAACTTTTAACAGTGGATTTTTAAAGTGGACTAAAAGTAGTTATTTGAGACAATTGTAATAGTTGATCTCTAATCACAAATATTGACAATATGCTGCTTGCTCAAAGCAAAATTGAGAACTCTTAAGATTTTTCCTCTTTCAGGTATCAGAACCCATTTTTGTGAAGTCAGCTTTAATGTTCAGGGTCTCTAGGGATGTGTATCGTGTATTTAAATGTCAATGAAGGGAGAATGTGGGCAGGGATTATAGAAGTGCTTTGCTCTTCTGGTGGTTCAGATGTGGATATCCAATTGTCTTAGTGTATTGGCAGGTAATGTAATCTATGGACATTTTTTTTTTATAACTGTCTCAGTCTCCCTGAAATATTTACTACAAAATGATTTAAGAACCAACACTAGGGTGTTGTTGCGGCAGGAGTATCTAGACTTTCTCAGCCATAAATGTAGCTAAGCCAGCAGAAAGAAGAGACAAGTGGTTTGTTTGCTGTTGACTCCCTGGTCTTTGGTGTCCTTCCCTGTCCATCCTTGTGCTTCACCCCTAGGAAGCGTCTCCTCCTGCCGAGTGTAGGTGAGAAGTGCTTGGAAGAGAAGGTGCTGAGGAGTACGTGGCTGCAGGCTCAGAGACAGCACTTAAGGGATGAGTTTGTTCCATCCAAAGCAAAGGTTGTGCTGCCACCGAAGACCCAAAAGCCTCTGCTTAAATCCATGCTGACTTTAAAATTTGAAACCCCTACTTACATTCTTACAATCTGTCGTGGGCTTTAAGTACCTTCTTGAATTAGAATCAAAACCGAGAGCTGGGAGCGATGGAGAAAAGCCTGGGAAGATATTAGTTAGTGAGAAGCTTGGTTTAGGAAATGTGACTGGCCTAGCACGAGGGGGATGTGATGCAGCACCTTGAGACGGGAATGGAAGTTGGTTGGCAAGTTGTCAGTGCCATTCCACAGCTAACCAACGTTTTATCGTCCCCTCTGCCCCCGCTCTAGGATTTCTGTCCCTGAGTCATGGCAGACAGAAGACCAGAGAAGGCATGTGAACAAGCATGTGAATCCCTTAAGCAGCAGGATTATGAAGTGGCAGTGAAGCATTGCACAGAGGCTCTCCTTTCCCTCAGCCAGTACCCCCCAGCTCACCTCCCGGAGCCCTGCCAGGCAGAACTCGACCGCATCAAAATCGAGACTCTTCTGTATAGAATTGCTTCCTTTTTACAACTTGTGAGTGTGACTCTTTATAGTATCTAGTGAACTGGAAAGAAAAGTCAAATATCTTGTATTGTCAAGATTTAAATACAACTCAGAATTTTTGGCATGTTGCTCTGCCCACAGAATCCATCTTGCTATAGCATCTATGAGGCTTCTGTCTTGTAGCTCTGCCTGATCCATTTATTTTTCAGGGTTGGAACCTCTTGGTTTGGGTCTCAATCACAGTTTTCTAAACCAGGAAAAATACTTTGAACATATTAAAAAAAAATAAATAAAAAAATAAAAAATATTCCAGGAAGGCAAAATAGCTGGGTTTAGGGTACATATGCTGAATTACATACCAAATTACCTTATCTTTTAAGAGCATGAAATTAAAGTTTCCACAAATAAAAATACTCAAAAAACAAAGTTAAGAAATGCCAAAATCTAGGTAGTTTGTTCATACCTGCTTTACCTCCAGTTGCAGAGGCCTAAAATTAGTCTTTTAATGCTTAATCCCAGCTTTCCAGGGCTTGACTAGAGCATATTTGGTGAAAGATGTAACTTCTAGACTCTGGCAAATATTTAGTGGAAAGGTGAATATGGGTCTTGCAAAGGTTCATAAATGCAAAGCAAGAGGCATAACCCTGAATTACAGGTGACCCCATTGCCAAAGTTGTGTCCTTCCTTTAAAGCATCAGAGCTACAGTTTCTTAAAGGGAAGGACATTTCAGTGCTTAAGAATAAACCTACAACCTGCTTTTTCTTACCTTTTTGAAATGCTGTTACAGATTTACAGGGGTCTTGTCCACTCCAAATCTTCATGTATTGAGTAGGAGAAATTTCATCTCAGGTGGAAAAAGTTTGGCCAAGTCACAAGACCTTGCTGGGCAACTTTAAGATAAATCTGCCCATCTGATTGAGGGAGTGTTTTTAAGCATTCTTTAAATAAATATGTGGATTGAACTATTCAGTGTGCAAAACAAGAATTGGGAAACCTCTTAGATGAAGAAGTGACCTATCTTATGGCTCTGCAGGGGAAGAGATTCACAAATAAGTGAGGTTGGTTTTTCTAATAGAAGTTGTGTTACCACAGACTTGACCTCTAAAAATTATTTCCATAAGACAATATGCAGATTGGTGCTTGGATTATTTAATAATTTCTGACATCACTCTTTTAAAATCCTCTGAGGCACCTATTTGGATGTTTGTTGTAATGATATTATTGCAGTGAGTCTGCAGGGACTTTGGAAAAATACTTGAAATCAAAAACCTTCCAATAAAGGCTTGAATTATACAGATACGTGAAGTCTTAGGAAAACAATCCAAATTTTCCTTCTTGTTTTACTAAACAAAATAATCCTTAAAATCACTACTGAAAAGACAGTAAAATAATGTGCAAATCTTAAAATTTCAGCTTAACTGTATTGGTGCAAGATTAAAAGACAAACAGTGTCTCGAAAAGTTAAGTTTTATAATTTTTTCTAGGTGTTGTGAGCCAGCCACAAGCATATAACACACACACCTTTGCCCATTCAGGCTCCTCTTTTAAAATATCCATGTGCTGAGAATTTGAGAAAAAAAAGTCAGTGTTTTAAGAATTAACTGAGAATTTGAGAAAAGTGTCAGCAACCTAAGAATTAATTATATTATCATTGACATGTGACTTATGTTATTTACATGTTCCTCCCAGGAAAAGACAAGGTAATGGTTTCTAAAAAGTTTTAAAAAACTTGTAATTCAAGCATGTAGTTGTTTATGCTAACTGGAATAATGCTATTTTTAAACTTTTCATGTTTTACCTTTCAGAAAAAGTATGGGCAAGCAGATGAAGACTGTAGGCATGGTATGCTTATTTCTTTTTTTATTACATAGTGTTATGAATTGCAGTCAGTTGTCTGAATTTTTAAAACTGATGCCCAGATTTGTTAGTTTGCTAACAGTGTTTTTTTTTTTTCTTATTTAAAATTATGTATCTGCTTTATAATACTTTTTCTGCTTTTTTTTTGTTTTCTTTTTTTTCTTTAAAGAGAGATCTCACTATTTTTCAGCTCAAGTACCAGGGCTCATGTCTTTGGCTCAGTGGTGCTATTTGGCTAATAGTTATTTTAGTGCACAAATGTAGGAAGAGTTGATAATGTCAGGATTCTCACAAAGGTAAAAACAAAAGACAGCTGATTGTTCCGCCTTTCTTCCCAGGGACATGGTGGATAGTTTGCTTTGCATTTGGGACTTAGTTCAGAGAAAATCAAGATGATGCACGTTTGTTAAAGCTTCCAAATGTGCCTGTGTCACATTAAAGTCGAGCCTTTCATGTGTCACTGCTTGTTCAGTTGGGGTATTTTTGAAGGAATTAACCATCTTTCCTAATCCTCTGTTTTTCATCTATAATGCAAATTATTCAGAATTCACTGAGAACTCACTGAGTTTGGAAAGTGTTGGAACAGAGTTTATCAGTTAGATTTGGAAAGAAAGGTGGGTAGATCCCACCTTTTGAATTTAATTCTTTAACAACTCCTGAATGTTAAAGGAAGTTTTTTCAGGTGACAGTTTTGTTACACAGACTGTGATCTACTCTTCTGACCTTCCTGTGCTAGCAATGATAATCTTTAAATTGTTCCTTTCTGGGTTTGTGAGTTTTATATTGTTTCAGATTTTTTTTTAATGCGTTTGTCTTCACTGATAGTCAAGTCGTAGTTTGGGGAATTTGTGGGGTTCTGCAGCCTGCTTGTAAAGGTCTGTAAAAATCGACTAAGAGAAATAAACTTGCTTTCTGTAGGTGTAAAATTAAAGTTTAATACCTTAAAAGAGTCTGTTTGTCACTTAATCAGTACCATTCTTGAAATAGTCTAATATTTTTAAAAAAATTCTTTTACCTTATTGATGTATGCTTATTGAGGGGTGTAATATTCTAACTTCAGAGTTGTCTTTCATGATGGCAGATAAAAGCAAGAGACATATGGAAAGCTGAAAGATGGTTAAAGGGGTGGGAGGGAGAATGCTGTTTTTAATGAACAGTGTTCTCATCTATGAGCTCTGATGGGTTTGTCATAGGGGACAGGGGTGACTTTTATCTGTGGAACTTTCTCTTGGGGTGTGTGTGTCAGTTATCAGTATCTCAAAGGAGCTGTCATGGTAACTGCTTGTCATCTCTCACTGGACAGGCATAGAAGTGGGTGGAATAGGACCATTGATCTCTGTCGTCTTTTTAAAAATTAAATAGAAAAAACAGCCTTTAAATGTATATGAATTAACAAAGAAATAGCACCCAGATTAATGTTAATTTACTTCATTCATGTCAGTATATTCTGCACATATGATTTTCCAGATATAAAAAAACTTAACTTACTAATGCCATATTTATGTCTATATATAAAAATACTGTGTATGTATTTATAAATATATATATACACATATACACACACACCCCCCCCCCTCCATATTTTTATGACTATAAGAATGAATGATTTGGTTGTGGTTCTCTGTGATGTGTGGTTATCAATTGTAGCCCAGCACCTGACATTTAGAGTATCTGCATTGATGATTCCAGAAGGTCTTAGTTTTGGTTTTATGTTTGGGTTATTGTTGGGCAGAAGCAGCCTTAGCATGGACTACTTGATTCTCACAGGCTTTTTGTAATGGGAAAAGCTTTATTCAAGCTGCTGTTCTGCCTTTTTACAAGACTTGACATGTTGCACAGCTGTGATGGGTTTATTTGAACCTGAATGATCAGTGTATTCTGGAATAGCTTTACATGTTCTTTATAGTATGCTGCTTGCAGTGTTACTGGGAATGATGATAACTTAAAATCTGTTAAATTATTCCACAAATCTTTCCCAAGAGATAGTGATTAATGTGTTGCAACTTTTTCTGTGCAACTGTATGCTTTAGGTTGGTTATACTATGCAGATAATGATATGAGATATAATAATTGGAGATTTAATCTTTGAGATTAAAATAGCAAGCTGTCAGACATGTTAAAGCTATTTTTGGTGCTTCTGCTTCTGATTTGGGAAGTAAGTTCTATTTTTGGCAATGTGGTCTGTACTATCAGAGTGGTGAATTCAGACCAATCTTTGAGGCACTTTATAAAAATAGATTTAGTTACCATTGCAGTTTGAAGGGATTCCTAGTTGTTTTTATTTAAATGTTTTGTGGGACTATTTATTTATTGAGTCTTTCATGCAGTTTCTGTTAATGACGTGAATGTTGAGTGAGGAGTTTTGATTTATTATTCTAAAATGTAATCCTGAAGTTGTGGTGAATGTGAAATTCCTGTTAGCACTAAGAGGGGCTGTTTGCATCTGCATGAGTAGCAGTATAAACACAGATGTTGATGTTGCTTGCAATAACAGTTATTTTATAATTCCTTAATTTTAAACAACTGTCCAGCCTTCTTTTCAATTCACACACTTAGCTTGCTAAGCTTTTTAGTCACTCTGGCATTTTGTTTTCTGGACAGGTAATACATGTGATTAAGTGTTGTTGCAGCTTGTCTGAAGCACGTCTGTATCATGAAATAAATCCTGTCCGTGCTGGAAGTGTTCACAAAGTGTCTGTTTGGCACTGCTCACTGCTGATCCTGTGCTAGGAATATTCAGAAAGTTTTTTGTTACAGGGAGCCTGTAAATTACTGGGCTCAGACAATCGTTCCTATATGCCACACTTTGCAGCATAAGTAAATAAAAGCCCTTTTAGAGGAGAAGGAATTGCCCATAAGGAGGGTTGGCTATTTTTGGAAACGACAGGGCATGTGTTTTGTGAGCATGAATGGATCTTCCTGAGCATGTTTGTGTTACTGAGAGGTTGTGTTGGTTGCTATTTCTTTTTTACCCTTTCCATGAGAGGAGGTCCTTTGTGTCTGTGTCAGATATTTGAATTTACCCTTCCCATGTTTAATTTATGTCTATTTTAGCATGTAAACATGACAGCCTTTCTTCAGCTTGTGCAGCATTTATTAGCTGGTGGGAGACAAGATCCAAGTTAATGTTAGACAACAACAGCACATTATATTCACATCCAACAAGCCATAGATTTAACCTGAGCTTCAGACTTTGTTTTCTTGTTAAGTGTGAAGGAAAACTGTATATATGACTTAAATGGATGGTGTGCTGAGGGTAATAGCGGCTGATTTGTGTTGCAGTTCTGGGAGAGGGGCTGGCCAAGGGCGATGGATCTCTCCGGGCAGTGCTCTGCTGCATGCATCTCAAAGGGAAGCTGCAAATTGTGTCTAATGTTCTTTCCAAATCACTGATGGGGGAATCACTGGTAAGTGGGTTTGCTGCAATCTACATGGTTTAAAAAATCAGTTTTGTATTTCCTTCTTTTAAAGAATCTGTTTAATAACAAACTTGCGACATATGTTTCACTGGCAGGTTGCAACAAAAATGATTGGTGTGGAAAAGATAAATATATGGGCACACATATGTTATCAGGATGCCAGGTTGTTGCATAACCAATGTTCCAGAGTTGTTGTGATTTTTAGGTTTTTTCACTGTTGGCCCTGAATCCTCAGGGAATGTAAAATTGCATATTCGTGTGATTGACAAGAATAATATAAATCTCAAACTTTTGCTTGCTTATTCTAAATTGTACCTGACCCCATTTTTTATGGACTTCAGGAATTCTATCCATTAAAGCAGAAAAAGTATTGATTGAACTTTTAAATAACTGGCCCATGATAAGTTGTAAGACAGCATAAAAAGCTTTTCAGGAAAAGAAAAAAAGCTTTGCATTTCAAGATGGCAATAAAGGTTTGAGTTCAAAGCTTCTAAATTACCCTTGAACTGTTAAAACTTGTGAAGATGCTTCACAACCCAGACATGTAAGTAACTTCTGACTTTTATGTGACTACTTATATGGGAAAATTAGGGACATATATAAGTCTCTAAAGGATGGTGCCCTTTTAATTTCTGTAATCTGGATTAAATAGGCAGTTCATCAGCATGAACTGCTGGTTTTAATGCACCCAGAAACATGGTCATAGCTTGGTCAGACTGAGGGGAACGTGTGGCATCAGAAACTTGCAGGAGAACCTCTTACCTTGAGGTTGGATCCTGTCTCCTGTGTTTTGGTGCTTAACTGAATTAGTAGGTTGTTTTTGCGAGTTCTGTTTGTCTGTCTGGTTTGTATCCTGAATTCCCTTCCCCCTGGCCATTGGCTATTTTTACATAAAGGTTTTTTTTTTCTTTGTTTAGCTGTTTTCTAATGAAAAAATGTTTCATTGAAAAATTCCTGGTGAGGTTGAAGGAAACTTGCCTTCAGGAAAAATTAGTAAAATGGTCTTATTGCAGGGAATGTGGAGTGCTCTTGTTTTGAGCTGTTGTTGTGCAAATAAAGGTACCTTTGTATGGAGTTCCAGAGTGTCATCCCAAAGCAGGGTTTGAGAGGTTTTTACAAGCTTTAGGTTGTTAGACACAGTTGTTTTCAGTAGGAATATTAAAATCAGCAGCTGATTTACTGACTGTGCCATTGTCTGAAAGAAGTGAAACAAAGTTTTGGAATGAATTTATTGAAGAGTTGGAATCCATCCAGTTTCCTCCCCAGTGGCTTAAGAGAACGATTCTTGGTAACATTTTTTTGTTCTAATACATTTAAGCTCAACAAGTTCAATTTTCAGCCTTCTGCTGAAAAAGTGAAAAATCATTTTGGAAAAAGCCTAAATGTGGGTTTTGTTAAGTGTGTAAGTTTTTAGCAAAGAGTAATTTCTCGTGTTCAGTAGCACAGTCAGAATGTGGAGAAGTCTAACAAATGCTGTAGCACTTAATTAAATTTTTGCAAGAGATTATTGAAATAAACCCCACAGGTCTGGATTCCTTTAATCAACATTTTGTCTTACAAGAGTGTGAAATTGTTACAAATACCTATGTATTTCACATAAATTCAGTTTTGAAAGATTTTTACTTCAGTTGTACTTGACTATGCAGTTTGTCACATGGCTAATCTTTGCTTTTGAGGGAAAACTCCAAAAATTACAGTCTACATCAGAGCAGGAAGAGTTATGGAGCTGCAGAAATTAGCGATCTGTAAAGTAGATCCTTAAAAAGAAATGAATCCATCACTGCAAGAGCAGTGAAAGATTGTTATATTAATTCTTCAGAGCTGAAGTGTTGCAGTAACCATGGTATATTTTTTTCCTCAAGTTGTTCTTAATATGGTGCTTTCCTGAATTGTCCTGTATCGATAATTGCTGTAAGTCTAGTGCTGGTTTTGGCCAGTGTAGAATTCCCTTCCTCACCACAGTGTTTACTCAGTTTTATTTAGTGTCATTTAAAATTGGTGTTGTAAGTCAAACTCATTTTTCCTTCTGGTGTTGAGGGGGGAAATGAACTTGGTTGCTGTGGTTTAATGCACATAATGAAGGTTTATGTGTTCAATAATTAATATTCTTTCTGCCCCCAGAACGGGATGGTAACTAAAGATCTCACACGACTGAAAACACTTCTTGCTGAAACAGAGGTAATAATGAGGATATTTTTGGGAAAATAATGAGCAGTACCTGAAGCACCTGCAGGACTGCTTTCCATGTGTCCCAGGAGATCCAGGCTCACCGGGAACAGACTGGTTCAAAAATTATTGTCCCTGCTGGTGTGTTGGTCTTTACCCACCAACCTCTTCAGGAACTTTTCATCACATTCTTGCAGGATGTATGAGAAAATAATGATGATAATAGGATGTTGGTTCCTGAAGTAACAAGTACAAAGAATTCCAAGCATTTAGATCTGCAGTATTTATTTATTTATTTATCCATTGCATTTTTCTCTGTTGGAAATTAGTCTGAAGTAATAAACACGACTTCAGAAAATTTTGAGGAATATAAGTACATTCTCAATCATCTTTTTCTCTTTTTTTTTATGCTGAAGATCAAACTCTCATGTCTGCTGATTAAATTATCCCCTCTCTTTTTTTTCCTTATGCTTATTTATTTATTTGAGCTTTATGTTTGATGTAAATTGAAAGATGAAAGACTTATCAATGCAGTTTAGTTTTTGGTGTTTCAGAAATTCACTGCAGTCCATGTTAAGCTGATTGCAGGGTGGAATTTGGTCTTGTAAAAATCTCTAAAAATTTTTTCTAATCAATTGATTCCGTGTTCCTGTCAGAATTCCTGTTATTATCAGAATCCCTGTTATCAGCAGGGTTTGTGGCTGGAAGTAATTTCAGCTTATGATTGATATTTTTGTAATAGTTGTTCTAAAACCCATTTTGACAGCAGTTCTTGTTGATGAAATTGTTTTGTGTTCCTTTATAACTGTGGGCTTTTTTATATAATTGTAGGCAGCTGGTAAAGTACCATCAGGATATCATGTAGAAGATTTAGAAGAAGGTATGTAACTCAATTTTAAAGCTACATAATTTCCTAGAGAGAAGACTCGGAGCCTGCTGAATTCTCAGCGCTGCATTGCAGGCAAAAAAGCAAGAAAGGGGCTTGACTGTTGTAATGAGCCCCAGTGAGGTGGAATTATCTCAGTGTTGACTGAATTTGGAGGCAGAAGTTTCTGTTTATTGACCAGGGGGCTGTTTCAGAGCCTGCACTGTTCTGCAGATGGTTTGAAATTTGCATTCATGACCTTTGCTCTAAATGAGTTTGTCATGGACTGTAAATCAGTTTGGGGGGGGGTGTGGGGTAATTTTGCTTGTGTTCAGATACACCTTGGGTTGATGCTTAGGGATGTGGATCCCTGAGCAGTTGCTGTGTGACTGGAAAATGGAGAATTGAGAAATAACCGCGGTTGTGTCCCGGCAGGGTCACGGGATGGTTGGCACTTCCGCCCCCCTCCCAGGGGCGTCACGAGCAGTGAGGAATACACCCTCTGTAAAAGGTAAACTCTTTCCTTCATCCTAACCCCCTCCAAGGGAGCTGAATAGTTCCTCTTTCATTTGTCTGCTGACAGAATGATTAAGGGGCCAGGAAAGTGAAGGTGCTTGTTAGAACCAGAGTTGGTTGACCTGTTCGCAGGTTTTTGGAAGGGTCAGTTTATCCAGCAGCACTTCAGTTTGTAGAATGGAATCACTGACTCAGTTTTCATAATACAGTGGTTTGATGGGCATTTTTCTAGTGGCAGGTCAGCATCTTTCTCCCCTACCTGTTTGAATTTGGATGATTTCAGAGATGTGAAAAGTTCCCCAGGCAGCAGTGTAAGCAGACTGAAGTCAGGTCACAGTGCTGCCTTCTTATAAATGAACTTTGTTGATAGATGGGCTTTGTCTTCAGATAAAAAAAGTAGAATTTCCCTCAGATCTCATTCTTTTCCCTTTTGCATAAACTCAGATACACAGAGAAGATCCAATGGCTTGTATTGGTGTTTCTCCTTGTCTCTTCCAGTCATCTGGTCAATATTGCCTGTACTTTGTGTTTTTAATTGTCATTGCTCTACATAAAACTGTATTAATATATATGGGGAGGAACCATCATTATGCACTTGATTCTGCCGTTTATGTAACGAATGCAAATTATTTTCAAAAGCTCTGACCTGCTTTTTAAATGACTTGACTGAATTGCTGATTTTGAGCTACTTTTGGCATGGTTTTCTAGAGATGCTAAATCTTGGCAACTCTTCTTGACTCTTAATCATGTCTGGTGCTTATTCAGCAATTTAAAAAAAGCATATATTTACAATTTTTAGCTTGTGGTGATCTTTTGTTGAGTAACATTTATCCCGTGTTTCCAACCATTGCTCTGAAACATTTTTCCACTGAAGCTGTAATGAGCTTTATGCTCACTGTTAACCCTTCCAGTAAGAAGGATGTGCCTTGCTCAGCAAATCCCTGTGAACAGCACCATTCTATCCAGGGACTGAAGATTTTAGTTCCTTATGAGGAGGCAGTTGCAGGTACTGAATATGAATTTTTGAAGCTCTGGTTTATTTTTCCCCTGTGTGCCATAAAGCAGTAGGAGTGTGGCATATTTATTCTAGATAATGAAGCTATGGAATTGCAGGAGATATTAAATAAGAAATTAAAATTGAGGGGAAAAAAAGTGTTAAAAATATGAACAATGGGATTTTGGAAAAACTGTATAATGCTGAGAAATTTTAAAGTAATATGCTTTCCTGTTAAATAATGAAAAGGAAGCTCACTTGATTTTAAATCTTCTATGTAGGTTATAAGAACAGGTCAGCAATTTTTTATGCATGCACTCCATTTACTTTAGGAAGTGAAAATCATAATTGTACTTTAGCACTCTAATGCAGTGCTGAATCGGAAAATTGACAGTAAGAATACTGAAATTGACTGCAAAGAAAAACATTTTAATTTAAAATATATTAAGAAACATACCTTGAGAAGGCCTTTAGTTGCATGGTGTTATATATCATGTTTATTTTGTTTACAATTTGGGCATGCTAACTTTCAAGTATATTTCTAAAAGGAAAAGTGTATGCTAAATCAAATTATAGCTACTGATGCAAGTGTGACCCAGATGTGCAGGTACTTGTGCTGCAAGGTGTTCATGTCACAGTCAGGTGTGGCTTGGTTTTGTCTCACAGCTCAAAGTTCACTGTTTAAATTGCATTATATAACACATGTACTGTGGAAAAAATTCAAACATCACATTTTTTAACTTTTTATAGTTTTGTTTTGTAAAACAAACAAACAAAACGGTCTCCTGGCCTAATTTTATTCTGTATAACCAATGCCTTCCTGGTAGCTTCAGAACTTAAACGTTTCCCCCTCTTTCATTTTCATTTTGTCATCTATTTTTTAAGTGCTTCAGTTTTGAAAAATGATGGAGCTGCAGCTACTGTCTTGTGGTTTTTAATTAATACAAAGTTAAATTATAAAAATAATTCCCAAGTTAAACAGGCATTTGCCCAGACTTGCAGTAAATTCTGAGAACTAGAATGCTTCAATTGTATACAGGCTTTTGGAATAGCATTAATTTGATGCATCAGCACATGCCATTAAGTGGAAAATATATTTCTTTAAGAAATTCTTAGTGTGTGCAAGAGTAGATCCTTTTAGACTAATACACCCTTTCCAAAGAAGAGGATAAAACCTTTTCCTAGAGGTTTCTGTGTAGGTGTATTTAGTAGAAGGGACCATGTGATGTCACTGTTGCTCCAGGAAAAGCTGCTGATTGAGTATTTATCATCTAATAATGTAATCACTGGAAGAAATTATGCTACATCTTTCCTTTGCCCTTGATTAACAGGGGGCTTTGTGCATATTAATACAGTGCCTAGTCATTTCAGGGATGCTCTGTGATCTCCTTGTGTTAATTGCTGTACAACACTTGATTCTGTTTTCTTTAAAGCTGGAAGTTTCTTAAGACTTCCATCCCCTGTATTCCTAAGAAATTTGATACACATTTCTGGGCTTTGCAATAAGAGAAGCTGCTGTCTCTCTTTGAAAATACTGTAGGAAAATATATATTTCCAAATTAGTTCACATGGACTAAACTGCCTGTAGTTTTGTGAAAGAAACTTAAAGAATGTCCAAATGTCCTTCTGGCTTTACAAGTAAAATTTTGATAAATTTATTATTTCTATACGCTTCCCGCTTGATCCGATTGAAACAGCAGAAGGAAAACAAACAGTGCTCAGGCAGTTACATGGAAACCCTGATAGAGAAATGGATGAATTCATTATCTCCTGAGAAAGTGGTAAGAAAAATATCCTGCTTCTCTGTGTGCTCATGTTTAAAACTAACATGAGCCAGGTTTTGGCCCTGACTATCAGAGCTAGTTGAATCAAGAGAATTCTTGAATCTTGTCTTGAATCAAGACAAGAAATTGTCCAAGCAATTTGCTCCCCTTTCCATCCTGCCCTAGGTCTTCTTGCAAAGAGACTTAGGCTGGTTTGTGGGTTAATCACAGCTTGTTCATTTTGCATATTCACTATTCCCAGCGTAGGATGGGTCAGGCAAGTTCCATGGTATTGTTCCAGTTCCCTGACCAGATGGCAGGAACTTCTTAAGCTGGAGAATAAATGGTAAAGGTTTCACAGCTTACTGGGGAATACTTTTACTTGTGTGTGACTCCTTTTCTCTGCCTGCAGCTGCAGGCGCTGGTATGAAGAGCAGCCAATCCCCCAAATACTCAAAAGTGTTTGAGTACCAAGGAGTGTGGGATACGGATATGATCAAAGTTAGCAGCTCTTTGGAATTAGAAAGAACATTTTTTGTCTCAGCTCTATTTACCACCCAAAGGACCCAAAGGAGTTTTTGGTTCATCTATTGTTGATTAAAATCTTGTTAAAGTGGACATTATGCAAAATGCATTGATGAGTAGAAAGCCTGATTCTCATTTCCTGTTGTCTCAATAGTCTTGTTGATGTCAGTGAGATCTGGGGTCTTCTGGGCCTCATGGTATCATAGATCCTTTTTTCCAAATGAAGTTCTGTTCTGCTTTAAACATTTACAATTAAGTTGTATATTGAAAATCAAGTCTTGTTTTTAATTGTCTTAAATGGTTCTATTCACTTACACAGTGTGATCTGGTAGATTTAACTTGCTTGTCTCTCTGCATTAGCACATCTTTACATTAATTCCTGAGTGAGACTTGCATCAATCCTGCACAGTCTGGGAAACCATTCTTTCCTCTTTCTATTAGACAAAATGCTACCTTTTCCTGAATGTTTGTGTTTTGGTACTGCCTGTAGAAGTTTAATGTTACCTTCCTTTTCTTTTAATCTAGCTTAGTGAATGTGTAGAAGGAGTGAGAGTAGAACATAATCCTGAGCTCTCGGTAACTGTCACCACCAAAAAGTCTCACCAGACATGGACATTTGCTCTCACATGTAAGGTAGGACTACTTATTTTTTAAAAGTGAGTCAGTAATAGCTAGAATGCAAGCCATAACCTTTTGCAATTGAGATTTCAGTTGTATCATGCTTAAAATGGAGAAATTTCCTAGCACCAAACCTTCTCTCTCTTTTTTCCCCAGCAGCTCTGGTGATTATTTGTCAACTGCCCAATTTCTGGAAATCAGGCAGGACCTGTACCTGCTCTGAGAAACTCATAGTTCTTATTAACCCTCTTTATCTGATTGCAAATGAAGATATTTTCAGAGTAATTTCAGTATTTCAACCTTTGCATTTCTTTTCCAGCCTGCAAGAATGCTGTATCGAGTGGCATTGCTTTATGATGCCCATCGACCACACTTTAGTATCGTTGCAATATCTGCTGGAGACAGCACTACCCAGGTATCACAAGAAGTTCCAGAGAACTGTCAGGAATGGATAGGAGGAAAGATGGTCCAGAATGGAATAGATCACTATATATACAAAGTCAGTATAGCCTTCAACACAGAAATCTTTGGGACTTTTCGTCAAACTGTGGTGTTTGACTTTGGATTAGAACCAGTCCTCATGCAACGAGTGATGATTGATGCTGCTTCAACTGAAGGTAATGTACTAAAACTTCTATTTTTTTGTATAGTGGAGATCTTTCATGCCATCTCTTTCCTTTTCAGTTTTGGGCAGAAGAGCATCTCTGTCAACTGCTCAGAAATGTTTAGTACTGTATGTTATGTTCTTCATAGATACAAACAGAAATACTGGGCAAAAGCTTTGGAGGGTGTAAATCAGGCAGATAAATGGAATATGACTTACTCTGTGTTAGGATATGGCTCCTAAGTATGATTAAAATGCTGGGAATTTCTGGTTTGGTGTGTGTCTGGGTGCAGCACTGGAAATTCTGCCTTTATAAAAACATATTTATGTTTTTATAAACATTCTTATATTGATGAAGACATTAAATATGTCAGAAAAGGTCGTTAGAGAAATGGAGTGTTTGTGTATAAGAATACATGGGGTAATAAACCCAATAATTAAAACATTATATGAGAAGTTGGTTTGTATTTTTTCTTTCTCTTTCAATACCAGACTAGGATTGTCAGAGGCAAGAGGCTGAGTATAGGCTTGTAACTCAATAATTTGCTGCTGACATGAATTTTGAAAATGTAAAGAAAGTGTAACTACGTTTGTGTCTTCAAGTAAAAAATTGAGCTACAAGTTACTGTGTTTAATCTGTTTCTTAAACTGATATATGTCTTTCAATTCAGACCTGAAATAATGCCAATGTGAGTAAAATGTCAGAAAAAGAAGAGATGTCCGAAAAGGTGCAAAATAAAAAAAAAAGAAGGAAGCACTTTTATTTATGGTGTAAGAGAGCTAAATATAGGTCACTATGTCACTTGGCAGTAAGCCATTGGGTGGGATACAGGATCTTAATTTTTAATGAAAATTTGAGAGATAAAAACACCAGCAAAACAGAATTGTAGCCCTGGGATTTAAGCAGGAAGAAGAAGAAAAAGGAAAAAGAAGGAAAAAAGATGAAGCTGAGAAAATAGCAGTTCTCTATTCCTGGCCTTTATTTCCATATAACAGATCTGCAGCATTCACGGAACAAAGCTGTAAATAGCAATTACCAAAGATCATGTTCTTTGGAGATGACCTCAAGTGCTTGTAGCATCCCTGGGGGCAGAGGGTGTGGCACTGCCAGGGAGTGGGTGCTGTTCCATGATCTCCAAGGACCATGGGGGTAATCACAGATTTCCTAAACCACTGGGCCTGTGCAGAGCAGTCCTTGCCTTGTAGGGAACCAAGCCATGAGTTACTCGCAGAGTCAGAGTTCCTGTCAAACCAATCTGTGCTCTGGGGGTTTAAACCAAGTCCTAAGCACAGGGATCCCAGGAACAGCCAGTTCAACTGCACTTGAAGGTGATGGATGAGCTGGAGGTAGCAGCCCCCAGCATCAGGTGTTTCCTTCACATCTTGCCTGTCTGTGTGCACAGGGACACTCAGGTCTTCAGGCAGGTCATCACTAGTACTTACTTCAAAAGGAAAGAGTGTTAAGAGCTTTTTAGATAATTGTGACTATAGAATCCTGGGCTTTTTGCTGTGTCATCTGAGAGGGTGTGTAATAGACAAGGGAAAGGGATAACTACATCAGATCTGTGTCCAATTCTGTAATTTTTACTTTTTGGTATGTATGAATTGAGATCTTGTGGAAATGCTTTTCTAACAGAAAGATGCCCAAGATCTCTATGTTTACATGTAATTCAGGGCCCTGTCGAGATGTTCAGGCAGGAATGAAAGGTCAACATGAAAATATTTTAATAGATGAGCCTTCATTCTGCATTTTGAAATCTTTATTTACAACAGAAAAAGGGGGCTGTAGGAAGTTTTTTGTGCACTGATTATGTACTAATTGATCTTTAAGAAAGTGTTACTGTGTGTGCAATCTGTGCTAGGAACTGTTTATGTCAGGCTTCCAGGGAAAGCCTCTCCAGTGCTGGGAATTAAATGGTTGTTGTTCCAGTGAGCAAGGAGTCAGTCCCAGCATAATTACTGAGCTTTTGGGATCTGAGGTTTGATTTGTAGCAGAGAAAGCTTCATTTATGGTGATGTTATTTCAGACACACAAACCACACAGACTTGGACTTTTTCTTGCCGTACAACTGTAGCTACTGGTATGGTTCAGGCTTGAGGGATATATTTAAATGCATCTTCTTAGTGAACACATGAGATCAGTGAGTAAGATAAGCCATGTTCCTGTAGTCACAGTCAAGCTGAACGGAGATTACTTTTGCTGAAATGCTGGGTTTTTTTCTTATTTAGACTAAAGACAGTCAAGATGATGTTAAGCATTTAATTTGAATTTGAAAATGTCTTTTTTGCACATTTTCAGTGTTGGTGTGATATCCTGGATACCTATGTTAAATCTTAACTCAGATATTATACATTAAGATAGCATAGCTTGACTCTAAATGCCAAATATTTTCAGCTCTGCAATTTAACTGATTCACTGTTGTCATAGTGGTTTTGTGGTATTAATGGATCTGTTCTGGGTGGCTGTAGACAAGTGCATGGTCTTCTGTTCTCATCTAAGCTATGTGGTCCCTGAAATCAGGGCATGCTGAAAAACTAATTTCCTCTGAATTTTCTAATTTTATATCACATTAGGTTGAATTTCCCAAGTTTTGCTTAGGGAAGTAGCCTTAGTTACTTTATGTAACTCTCTGCACCACACCCAGATTAGGGGGCCCTAGAACTTTTTAAAAGGTTTTCACAGTATTGCAATTGTGCTGATTCCTTACCAGCTGATTTTTCAACTTGTTTTTATGACCTTCTAAATTTTATAATGTACATTGTGGGGTTCCTCACTATTTAATATTTTTGAAATGAGGGGATGTCAAAGTTGGGTTTTACAGCGTATTGCAGTGCCAAGTTCTTCAAAGCTGTTGGTGATTATTTAAATAAAAGTGATGTTTTTGTCTTTATTAATTCTAATTGCTATCTATAGAATGTCTTATTTGCTGATACTCTTGGAGAGCCTGTTTGCTCTCTGTGCACACCTGAAAAGTAGGAATAGTAAATACCAGCAGTGAACTCCTGGGCAGAGGAGACTCTGCTTATGTGTGGGTATCTCTGGGGGGGATTGGCTTTACTAGCAATCCAGCTGGGGTTTGTAAAAACAAAGCTCACCTTCCCTGCTGTGTGTGTCCATGCAGACCTTGAATACCTGATGCACGCGCGGCAACAGCTCCTGACCACAGCCAAGCGCTGGGATTCCACGTCCAAGACTATTGTCGAGTTTGAGCCTAACGAAACTACTGAATTGGAGAAGAGCCTTCTCACCAGATACCAAATCCCTCTGTCTGCTGACCAGCTATTCACACAATCTGTCCTGGACAAATCATTGACCAAGACCAACTATCAGTCACGGCTCCACGACCTCCTTTATATTGAGGAAATAGCACAGTATAAGGAAGTCAGCAAGTAAGTGATTCCTTTATAAAAATATTCCTATTAAAACCAGGCTGACAGCTTTTTTCATTAAAGCTACCTGCTCTTTTAACATACTGAGATTTCCTGTTTCTTTGAACTGAATCAGTCTGGGGATAGTAATGTTTGGTAAAGGTCACTAGCACTTAAATATAAATTCCTGCTTATTCATTGAAAACAAGCTGTGTGTATCAGTCAGTTGCAGGCACTAAGCAGCTGTTGGACGTGGTTTTGTTAATTATTTTTCTTTCTAGTTTTTTGTCTGTCTATACAACAATATATTAGTAATAGTTACATTTTTATTCCTGTGTGAAAGTAGGTTATAGCAAAGGAATATATAAAATCTTTGTAAAAAGGGTTGAATTGTGGGTGGATCAGATGATCTTGTGATGATGTGGCAGCTGATTTTATTTATTTCCTAAATAGGTTGACACCCAGTTTCAACCTATAGTTAATATAATAATTTTAGGAGTAAAAGTTCCTAATAAAAGGCATATAATATACATTGTTTGGTTTGTTGTGTCTTTAGGTGTTATGTACAAATTACCCAACTGGTGTAGATGCTTGAAAAATACGAATTTAGGAAGAAGATGTGAAATTCACACTTACAGACCATCATGTGGACTTCTTTTCTGTAGTTTAATATTTGTGGTCAAAAATTTTCCCTGCATTCATGTAGAGGTACTAAAGAGTTTTAGAATTTTGTCACAACTCAGAATGGAAAGTCTAAAAGATAGAACATCATTTTGGCTTAATTTGGTAGCAAATGTAGTTTTATCAATTACTTGAAGTTCCAAATCAGGAAGTCTTTTTTAAGATGAAGAACCATTCCTGGAGCTACAGAGATTGAGTTGAACCAACCCTCTAGAACTGAGGAAGAAAATACTATGAGTAATTGTATTGCCATTGCTTTTAAAGCAGAAAATCATTCAATTTCTTTTTAAATCTCAGCTGAAGGGCAGTATTTGAGCTGTTTCTTATCTTTTATCACTTCTGCACTCTGCTCTTGAGCTGAAGTCTTAACACATGGAGGATTCATGCTTGAACACTGTTTCCAGCTTACAGAAATATTCTCCATCATACATATTTATAAACAGGTTGACTCCTCTAAGGCCTTTTGAAATAAAAGAAAGTGTTAAAAAAAAAGAAAGTGGATTTAAAGTAAATATTATGAAATACCATTAAAACATGAGCAGTATTTCTACTGATAGAATTTTCACCTTGGGAGTTGCACTCTCATGCCTCATAGGAAACCAAAGAGCAGTAAACCTGGAGAACTGAAAGAAAAATAAATGTGTCTTGTATGCAGTGCTTCCCCTTTGGACTGTTTGATGCAGCAGCAATTTATTGCTTGATAAGTTATAAGTAAGTGTTAATAATGTTCTTGAAATCTTCTGTTTTGATAGTGTTGATGACAAATATTCTTTTGATCTTGTAGCTGACCCACTTTATTGCAACAAGGCTCAAACCATCAGACATTTCCACTCCTCTGTGGCTAAGATCACACACTTGGTATTCTCTAGCAGAGTGTCAGGGTTGCAAGCCTGGAAATGGGCTGAGAAATCCAGATGCAAGTGGGTTGTAACACCTCTGAAGTGGTGCCACAGTGACAGTGTTGATGAGCTGTTGCGCTTTGAAGGCTTTGTGAATGTACAATGTAGAAGTAGTAGGATTGGCAGCGTGGTCTGACAGCACTGGAGTAACACGAGTGGCTGCAGTCCAGATCCAAGGGAGGTTTTGGGGATGTTGATGGTTTCTCACATTCTAGGAAAGCACTTCAAACTTTATATGGAATCACCTGAGTGGAACTGGACAGCATTGGGTGAAAGTTGCAGTGCCTTGAACATACCTTAAACTCAGTTATAAGGGAGTTCTGGACAGTCTCAAAGAACTTTACTTCTAAATTGTGTTTATTTTAATATTTCAAGAGACATTGATACAAGTTACTCCACATGAGTATCACAGAATAATAAGGGGGTCACTGCTGTCGAATTTCCAAGTGCAAATACACTGTTTTTGAGGAAAAGTAAAGCAGTGTTCCAATCTTGATAGTAGTTGGGTTTTGGAAAGTGTAAATATCCTTTCATGGTTTTAAAACTCTTCCTTTCTATCTTACACACTGAAGAGAAAAGCAATATAGACTTGTTAGAGTGACTAGAACATTTTCTTGTATGAGCATTAAAGGGTGTGAGGTGACAGACAGTTCCTTCCATGCTCCCAGAAATACAGAGCAGATTTATCCTCAAGGCTTCAACACATCAAGTACTGGCTCTGATGGAAAATAAATTTGCTTTTGTCATTACTGTGTGTTCCATTGATCACTCCCCAGGCAGGTGTCCCACAGCACACCCTGAACCCTGCAGGTGTCAGTGTCACAGCAAATGTGCTGAATGTGCTTTTGCAAAGTGGCACCTGGGGCTTTGGCCAGAATGGGTTTGTTTGCCTTTGGGGAATTTATTGTTTGCATTGGTACGGGATGATTAATGATTTATGAAGTCATTCTTCATAATTATTCTGTGATTTTAAATATGAACAACAGGTTTTCTTGTAGCTGCTTCATGAACACTGCAGATAGGCTGGCATTTGCAGGGCTTAGGAAGAAATAAAAGTTTTTTTTTTAAAACTTACTGAAAACCTTATTTTGTCTAACCCTGCAAAGCAAGGGTGAGAAATGGATGAAAGAAGCAACTTCTGATTTTTTAAAAATCAAATCCTGAGAGGATTTTGTAGTTTTGTAGCTTGCCAGAAGGTGTCAGCTTGCTCAATGGAAATTGCTTGGTAATCTAAACTTGAGATTCGCACAGCAGATGCAGTTCAGTCATTTATGAAAACACTAACCTCTGCCTTGTCTCAGAAATGCAATAAAACTGTTTTGCAGCATGTTTTTATAAATCTAAATTTCAGCTGATACATATTCAGCAGCATAGGGATCAACTTTAGGGAAGTTTCAATAAAATAAATTCACAGTAGCAAATTATTGTATCTCAGTAAGAATTCCCAGCCCTTGTTACTCAGTTAAATGTTTTATATAGTGTTTTAACAAGGAGATATGAACTGTTACAGATGTTGCTGACTTACTGATAGCTCCTTTGGAATAGTGCAGCACTTCAATAGAAGAAGGCTTGGGTTTTTGTTATGGGGTTTTTGTTACGGGGTTTTTATTGAAGTGTGATGTGGAAAGGGCGGGATTGGGTGAATGTTTTCACTGTAGCTTTTGCAGTAACCTTTGTGGTCAGTGATAACCAAGCAGATCCTTGTTAGGTAAGAAAACTTCCCTTGCTTTTGGAGAACTGGGAAATTCAGATCTGACAATGCCCATGCTCTGTGAAAAAGCAGCTGTTACCACATGGGGGCAAACTTGCAGTTTTTGTGCAAGATTCTTGATTTGCCAGGTCTGAAAAAATATATTTGATTGGTTTGGTAGATGTTTAATTACCAAGCTAAAATGCTGGGTTTTATTGTTAGTGACTTATGATTATTGATACTGCAGGGCTTAAATGAGCAATTACCACTTTATTAGGTTAAAATACAAATTATAAGAAAAACAGACCAAATAAAACCAGTTTGAATATGAAAAGTATTATAAGAAAAGAATGTATTTTTCAAAGAGGTTTTATTTCATTTATGAATGGGTTTTACTTTTTTTCTGTAATTTGTTGCAAATTTAGGAAAAAGCTGTGGATGAGAAAGTAACTGAATATTGTTACTCTGTTGTCAGACTTTTTTCCCCCTTTGTTATTTTTAAAACCAGGTTGAAGCAATGTGTTTTAAAAACCCCAATACACTAGGAAGAGATTACTTTTTATTGGTGAGAGGTCAATAAAGCGTGCTAATAAGTCACTTTAATGTTTTGTGCATGTGACTTCTGGAAAATGATAACTGCAAAGGATGAATTTGTTCCATCTCTGATTACAGGAGGAAGCTGCTGCTAATAGGAATTCTGTGGATAGATGGTTTATAGGGCTGAGTCTGTGATGCCATCCTCTCATTTCAAATAAAATTACATCATTTTAATGCCTATAATCTGATTTGTTTCAATGCATTTTAATCAATCCCTCTGAATTATAGGTATAAGGCCATTTGTAAGATGGAGATTGCTCTCTTTGGTGTGCAGCCTGGAAGAGACAGATGGGATAAATATGAATCTTGCTCTGTTATTTCCCTGCTTGTCTCCCCTTGCATACCCACCATAAGAATACAGACTATTTAGATACATATTTTTGCTGCTTTAGGACATGTGATTCATTCACTCTGAACTTTTATTAGTATCTAGTATTTGTTTCTCCCTTGTGAGTTTTCTTTTTTTAAAATTTCATAGGTGTTGATTCTTTAAAATGTATACTTTATAGGCTACAGTCAAAAGGAAGAAGTGTGGATAATTGCTATTTGCATATTTACAAAGGGCCAGTTTGACTGTTCTTGTTCATACTTAAAATTTAATTAATGAAGTGAATCTTCACTCTGAACACCTCTGATTTCAGAATCTGTGAGCATTTTTGTGCACTGACTCAATGTTTTCTCGCTCAGGTTCAACATAAAAGTGCAATTGCAGATTGTAGCAAGCTTCATGCTCACTGGTGTTTCTGGAGGTGCAAAATATGCCCAAAATGGACAACTTTTTGGCCGCTTTAAGCTCACTGAGACGCTTTCTGAAGACACTTTGGCTGGACGGCTGGTGATGACCAAAGTCAATGCTGTTTATTTATTGCCTGTCACTAAAGAAAAGTCAGCACAGACCCAAGGAACCAAAGAGAAGGTTTATGAAGCAGCTATTGAGGAGAAGACAAAGGATTATATCTTCTTGAGGGTATCCAGGGAGTGCTGCGAGGAGCTGAATCTTCGGGCAGATTGTGAAATGCAGGTAGGTCTGGGTGGAGGTGGTTGTGCTGTCAGAGCTCTTGGCCTTGTGTTTGCTTTGCCTGCATAATTGATGTGCTTACCAAACAGAAATAACCTCAGATTACAGTCACTGGAATTGCCTGGAATGAATGCATTTTCACCCAAGGTTTATCTCATCCCATTTATTTTGTTTTGGGGAAACATATGCAAGAATCCTAATGTCTTAATTTAACATGGATAATTGGTGTGGGAAGGCTTATGTCGTTCTGAGCTCTAGGTTTTGTGTTTGTTTTCTTAAAACAATAATTAAACTTACTAATTGATTGTATTTGAAACTTGACTGGAATGCAAAATGAGCTGAGGCTTCAGGAACTGGCTCATTTTTCCTTGAGTGTCTTATAAATCTTGGCCCAAGGCAGTAGATGTATTCTGCATTAGAAATTGGGTCCTAAAGTTGTTTGTAAAATCATTTAGTACTTTATATGTTTATCACTGAATTGGTGGTCAGATTCTTCAAGCATTACCTATATTTGAATGAATTTTAATTATGAGGATTTTTTTTATGAATAAATATTAACTGAAATTTTGGAAAGCAATCTTCACTTTAGAACTGAGGAGGTTGTAATTTACATTTACAGTTCTTGTTAAAGATGCTGGAGGTTTTGCTGCTCTCTTCAGTAGAGTTGATATTCCCTATGTGATTCTCAAACACTGATAAAACTGCTTTGATTTCTGTGGATTTTGGATAAGTTGAGTAGTTTCATTCCTTTTTCTCTTACAATTAGCCTCAGTTACTTGGTGGTTCCTTGTTTTGCTTTTATCAGGTAAACCGTTCATAAAGGTGGAGTGAACTTTAAAGCACCGTGGCTGCTGCCACTCTTTTATTTTTGGAGTGGTTCCTCTGCTCTGTGTCCTGCTTTGTGAACCTGGCAATGGATTAACTTCCTTTCCCACTGTTTTCTGATTGTGGAATGTATATTAAAGCAGGTTACATGCCTCTCCTTCCCAGATGGCCTCATTCAGTACTCTGCAACAACAAATAGAACTATTTGATTCCATCCAAGTAGCATTAAAAGCAAAACAAATCACAAGCTGTTAAGAAAGCAGTGAATGCAGGTAGATAATAGGAGGTATTTAATGCCAGGCACCTTGCTTGGAATCCCAGAAGGGGCTGTTAAAGTGTCACCCAGATGAGCATCACAGTTTTTCTGCATTTAAATTGCCCACATTAGGTTGTGTGGTCTTTTGTCAGCCTTGGGTCTGTCTGGGCAAAGATATTTTCCCCAGATAGATCAAACCACGAGTTTGGGACCATTGCCATGTGAATCTTTCCCAAACATCTGCAGGATGTGGCTGGGGAGGGATGGGTAGGACAGAGCTTGGGGAGGAGCTCGAGGGCAGGATGAGCTGTGCCCTCACTCTTGAGGAGTGCAACCCTGCTGTGCAGAATGGGTCTGAGGGGCAGGTTGGCACAAATTGCACAAGGTGGAAAAAGAATTCTTGAATTTTCTTGTGTCCTATTTAAAAAAAGTTTTCTTAGCAGTTCCAAACACCTTTGTGATCTCCATGCTTAACGCTGTCAGATTTGTTGCTGCCCTTGTCTTCAGACTTATGGTTGTACATCTTGCTGTAAAATGTGATAGTCAAGATGAATATTTAATGTCTCTATATCTGCCAGAGATGGAAAGTTAATGGCTACACTCTGCAGGGATACAAACAAACATTGTTTATTTACAGTAAAGCTAGTGTTGATTTTACATGCTACATAATGATACCAACACTGTAATACTGAAATAAGAGTAGGAAAAAGAAAATGCTGATTTACAAAGGCTTTTGAAGGAGATGATCTGCAAGTAGTAAACATTACTGGTACACCAGAGTGATCCCTGTGGTGGGAAGGGGCTTTGTGGGCAGATAAAGGAATGTCAGGTACAACAAGTAGTTAAATCTAAAAGGATAAATTATTTCTCTGTGAGGAATTCTCCTCCTCCGTAGGAGAAAGATCCTGAGAGAAGTTTATATAGCTTTGAAAGAGAAGTGATCACTTTGCCTTCCTTCTGTCCTTCCTTTGTAACTGTCAAGGACTTCTTAAGGTTTTATATAAAGTGTCAAAAAAGAGAATCGTAAAAATATATTCTAATACTGCTTTGTGTTTGTTGAACTTTCTGGTTGGTAGCACCAATTCCCATGAGATAAAGTGTAATTAAGTAAGAATGGGCTAACATTAAACTAGCTAGAGGAGAAAATTACCAGACCAGATTGTTGCTGTGGGCATGGGGTTACATTTGGAATAGCTGCCAGCTCCATGGCTTTTCTCTGGGATGCCATGGGAGGCTGCACCTTCAGTTGGGATGGTGCTGATGGACCACATTCAGCTCATCTTTGCTCTGGTTCTCCTCCTCTCCTTTCCTGAAGGAAAGAAACAGCTTCTGTCAGGCGGTTGTGAAATCTCTCGGTACAGATGGCCAGAGAAATTGTTAAATAATTGATATTTCCAGGTAAATGAGGGGTGCTTTTCCCTCAGGAGGATTACGACAGGTGATTATTACAGGTTGCAGTAATGTGGCTGCTGTTGGTAACGCAGCTTTTGTTGGTGTTTTTATGCTGGTTTTTATTAGTGCAGATCTGTGTCAAATTTTGTCGAAAGGCTTCTGTTTTGTTGTGAACGTGGAGTTCTTCAGCATAATACTCTGATCAGATTAATTTGTTTCTGGAAAGATTAATTACTGCAAATTCAAATATGTGTAAATGATAATCTGAGTGAACTGTTTTTATGAGTAATTTCCCCAGGAGCTGCTTTTATCTCTTGTTCAAATTTAGAATGTACTTTTCTCTTTACCCTTTCAGTGTGTGTTTATGTGTCAACTACTTTCACTATCCATTGTTCTGTTCTGAATTGAATCAGGACTGTTAAGTGCTCTGCGTGATGTTTCTGGCTTTGTACCAGAATTTATGTTGGCAATATCTTTTATTTACTAGCATTGAAACACCTGTAATTGAGAGAACAAAAACAATGTATTGGTGAGCAGCTAATTGTTAGAAATTAACTTTTGGGCAGTCCTAATAAAACTGAAAAGTTATGCCGTTCCAATGTATTTGACTAGAAATAATGTTTGGGGTTTACCTTTGTTGATTTATGTCATCTGTTGATCTGGTAAAATTTCTGGCCTGACATTTTTTTGAGGTTGTTCTTACAATAACAGATGGAAGCTGACATTTGTAAAAACAATGTATTAGGACAATAATATTTTCCAGGAGTGTTTTTTGTATTAAAAACCCCAAAAATTTCCAAGAATGCTTCCCCTTTATTTTTTTTCTGAAAGTACAGTGGAATCTAATCTTAAAAGTCAAGCAACAAAATCAAATTAGAGAAAATGCTTTATTTATCTTTGATTCAAAACAAGAGCAAAAAAAAAAGCAAGTTAGGTTTATCACAGATAAACAGTTTTGTCACATTTGGATTGAATGCTGTTTGCTGTTTCCTTCTGAGAGCCAGAGGAGTGCAGGAAGATAAAAATGTATCACGTACAGGAAAGTCTAATGAGCATTTTCTAAAGGAATCCTTTTTGTTCACCTCTCTGTTTCTTCACTGGTTTGTTGTGCAGGTTGAACTTCAGTTCCAGTTGAACCGCTTACCCCTCTGTGAAATGCATTATGCCTTGGACAGGATTAAGGACAACAGCATTTTGTTTCCAGATGTCAGCATGACTCCCACCATACCCTGGAGTCCCAACAGGTACATGAACACTTTAAAATCAAAGTTGGGGGGGAATGCAGCGCTGAATTTCTCACAGCAGATGGCTGAAATCTGTCCTCAAACAGGAAACAAGCCATGCTCCTCATTAGTGCTGAGGCGTTCAGAGGAGGGAGTGAAACTGTGCTAAATAAAACAAGAGCAATGATCCTCCCAGGGCCAGAACCCACTGAGTGGGGCTTCCCTGGGGGTTTGGAGGCATCACAGTTCTACTGTGGCTGCAGAAAACAAACCTGCTGCTAATTTCTATGCTGCCCTCCTCATCTGGAAACATTGTACTTTATAGGAATGTCAGTGCCAGTTCCAAGAGGTTTGTGCAGGGTCCCAAGTGTGCAGAGTCCTGTTTGTAAGGGCTGATCCATTAATAATTGTTCTTGGATATATCCCAGAGGGTGTGGTTATGGAAGGTGTGGCAGTGACTCTTATAGGACCAGCCTTGCTCTTTCAAGCAGCCCAGAGATTCTTTCTATACATATCTCACAGCTTCCTTTATGCAATTATAAACCCCTGTGTTATATAAATACTTCTAAAGAAATGATGTAGTGAAAATAGTTTGTCTGGAAGAGGAAGCTTAGGGAGGAGGAATGTGAGGCTGTGTGGCTCAAGGAATATGGTCAGTATTCTTGCTCTTGATAAAAGAGGCATGAGCTTTCTGTGCTTGGAGACCAGGGAAATGAGAGGAATGTGGAATTGATAGTCTGTACAGCTTGGGAGGAGTTGTGTGAGGCCTTGAAGGTGAGAATTAGGAGTGTGATTGTGGTGCAGGACAAATCCAGAGATAGCCCAGGCATTAAAAGGAAAACAATCTGTCAGAAAGCTGAGACAGTGAGGTACTGTAACACAAAAAAAACTGGAAAAAATTGTACTTTGTTTCTGGAAGTGTAAGAACAAATCCAGTACAAGGGTGGGATCAGTGTTTTGGGTTGGATGATCACTGTGTGCATCAGAGCTTTGACAGTACTGAGAGGAAGAAGGGAATGAGTTCTGTTTAGAGCTACTGCAAAGCTAATAGAGGTCAGTGACAATCTGTTCAGTGATTTAATTAGGTTTTGAGTGATTCTTACAAGGAAATAGTGTTTAAGAATAGTTTGGAAGTAAGCAGTGATTTCAATAAAAAGGAGGCAAGTCAAATAGAATAGAACTTTTATCTTCCTTGTACATACAAGTTGTAGCTGATATGTTGGTATAATGTTTTGTATTTTTTGGTTACATAAATAAAAGACAATGACTATAGTTCAGTTTAAGTCAGTTCCATCTGGTAGCTTGATTTGTCCTTCCTTAAGAATCAAATTAACTCCAAACTTTCTTGTTTTTCTTCTGTTTCTGTTTTATGTCCCTGTTCCTTTCCTGTATTTCTTAGTCTCTTGCCAGCTTGTTGTTCATAGTCATCTTAAAAGTTAAAATTCAGTCAATTCCCTCTTGATCTTGCTCCCTGTTGCTAACTACTTCTGAACAGGAACTTTCCCAGTCTGTAAGAAGTGTGGTGCTTGTACCAAAGCAGATCACATTACTAAAGTATGGCCATATGTGCAGCAGTGACAGGTGTTTTTTACTATGCACGTCTACTTTTAAATCTGTCAGTGGGAATATTAAAAACTCTGTCTAGAAATCTTCAACTTCTTATGCTTGCTGGAATTTTTTGAAAGCATCTTCCTCCCAATGCTGGCATCACTGGCTGCTTACAACAAAAATCCTTTTTTTTTAGACTGCTTTCCCATTAGAGGTATGTGCCCTGATCATCTTAAAAAAAAAAAAAAAAGAAGAAGTTTGTAGTTAATTGGTAGCCAGTAGTTTTAAAATTTGATCCTAGATAACTTCTACCAAGCCCTGGGGTTGTGTAACTGCTTACTTTTAAACTTGACAGTGTAAATGCTGCAGGGAAAAAACATAACTAATGAAACTATTATTTGAATGATAAGAGTACAAAAATCATTATATGTTTACCTACCTTTGTTATCAGTGAATGGTGTAGTATGTCCTTCTTCTAAAATGTGTGCTCTGCAGGTTAACTCTTGTGAAGTGGGATGATGTAACTTGAGAATAAGTTGAAACCACCGTCCCAAGTGATTTATTGCAAATAGCAAATTTTTAGGATTAAAGCATGTGATGGTTTTGCTTGATTTGTTGATTTGTTTCATGTGACACAGTCCATACAGCAGCTCTGTAAAGGCTCTTCAGTTCCTTTAACGCCTTTGAAATCATCCCTGATTTAATTTCTGCCTGGCAGTGGATTGTGAGGGCTCCTGTTTGTAACCTCTGTGGCCTCCTTTTCCCAGACAATGGGATGAGCAGTTGGACCCTCGGCTGAACGCGAAGCAGAAAGAGGCTGTTCTGGCTATCACCACCCCACTCTCCATACAACTGCCTCCTGTTCTTATCATCGGTCCCTATGGGACAGGAAAAACCTTCACTCTGGCTCAGGCAGTCAAGCACATCCTCCAGCAGCAGGACACCAGGTGAGAGGGGGCACTGAACACACAGCAGCACCCCACTAGCAGGGAGGATGTGATTTTTTGCTGAAATTCAAGTCAAAGATAGAAATACAGAGTTTCCACCCAGCTTAGAAACCAAAAAACCCAAGCCATCCATCATCGTTTGGGATGATAAAGTAATTTTATAATCTTGGCCTGTATTTGCCATTTAGAACAAAACTAATTAAAATGGAATTTATGTAGAATGGCTGTGATTTGCTCAGCATGGGAAGTTTTGCAGAATGGTAGATAACAAAAGTTGGTCTTTAAAATCAAGTCTAGATTAATAATTGCAAAATGATTATTGAAAAACTGTTTGATAACTGAAGGGTTTGAGCTGAGGGCTGAATCATGGGAAGTGCAGTAGGTCAGTGAGTAGTTCCATGAAGAGGAATGTGCAGGAAGATGGCCACTGTTTCCTTTTTTTTGTATTCTACTGCTTTGACTTGTTTTCTGTTTCTTCATTGCTTTTTTATTTGCATCCATTTATTCCAGCAGGATTCTCATTTGCACCCATTCTAATAGTGCTGCTGATCTCTACATAAAGGATTATTTACATCCATATGTAGAAGCAGGCAATCCCCAGGCAAGACCTCTCAGGTATTTTTTTAAGGCTTATTATGTATCTATAAAATATTATTCTTAAGAAAAGGTGTCTATTAAAAAGGTTAAAGAACTTTTAAGACATAAAAGTGTATTGGCATTAGCAGCAGTGCTTTTAAAAACAGCCTAAAAGGAACCTGAAATGTTGTAACATAATTTTTGGTCATTTGTTAAATAAAAATAGACATCCTTTTTTAAGCTTTTATTATTCTGTTGATAAATGTGTCTTTCCTAATGAGCAAGCTTTTGATATGCTCCTCTAAAAGCTACTATGATAAAATAAAATGGACTTTAATTGTATTTTGATTTCTGAAAAATTTGACTCACAATTACAAGGCTAATTTGGAAACTGGGGCTCCCCACCTGTCTTCTTGAAGAAACATTTTGGTATCACAGGAGCTACTTACTTAGAGAATCATGTAAAATTAGTTTGTCTTCTTCTGATAAATCAGTGTGAAGTGATTGTTTATGTGTTGAGATGTACTTACCATGGGTGTTTTGGGGAAATTGGTTTAGGGGAAAAAAAAAAGCAGAATCTGAAGAGCAAGGAGGGCAAACTTGCATGGAAATAGTTAAGGAGGATTTATTTATGGTCATGAATCTGCTCCTGGGAACATTTTGCCCAGTAATCACAATGTATACTTCATACTGCTAACTTGGTGTATATATAGAGTTTAAATTATGGGCGTCATTTTCTCAATGCCAGTGGGTGAATTTATAATATTACTAAGAAAATGACTTTGTGTTTACTTGCTAGCTATTAAAAGCCATCCTGGACTTATATTTTATGCAATGTCAGTAAAGCCAGTGAAGTTATGTGAAAGGGCTACGTTTGCAACAGGTGTAAATTCTCTTAGGTCTGTTGGCTTTGGTTGCCATGTGACATTTTACAGACACTGAGGGTCTGGCCAAGGGAAAGAGGGCAGTGTTATTTTTTAAAATACATCTTTGATCTGGTTGTGTTTTAACATAGATTGTCTTCAGGTGATTTGTAAAGCACTTTGGGATGAAAAACATTATGGAGTTCTTAATTTTCTGAAGGCAAAAAAATGTGTGTAATCCACCCTTTTGGGAATATTGAAGTGTGATTTAACACTTCAAATATTAAAACTGTTAAATACAGTTTTATTGCTGCCAGCTTTTTGCTGCCTAGTTTTCAACTGTGTTGTCCAGTCTCAGAAATATGAAAAACATAAAAAGTGTTATTTTTCTTACGGTTAAAATTTATGTGCCTATTTGCCAAGACAATCACAGCATGTAATTTAAAAGTCACTGAATGTTTGAATTTAAGTTTAATCATTGTAGTATTTGTTATGAAGCCTTCAGAAAGTGCTGCTGTCTGATGCTGTTCAAATAGTCAGGACACTTCTATAAAAAATTGAAGTTTAAGAAAATGGAGCCACCTCTTGAGTTGTGTGTATATGTTAGTGGATCCATAAGTATGTGTGGTTCAAATAAAAAATCTGACAGATAATTGCTGTTTGAGCACAAAGGGCATTAACCTGCTCTGGCAGGAGTTAAAGGTCAATTTTTCTGAATCCAAACTGGAGTTGTGTGAGACTCCCAGTTCAAAATTATTTATGTATGTACCTCCCTTATTGACTGTTGTAAGGGCGTATTTTCAAATTAAAATCATTACTGTTAGATTAAACTAGGGAATCTGAGCCTCTCACAGTGTTTTAAAGGAAGCATCAAGTGGAGCAGAAGCTGTTAATTATTCAAGGTAGATGTGCTGCTTGCAGAGTTCGTTGTGTTTCTAAATAACTGAACACTTTGCTGTAGATTTTATCCCTTATTTACTCTACAAGTGATGAGTTGGCTTAGTGGGGAGCAACATAACATTTTATAATATTTATGTTGTTTTTAAAAAAGGAAGGCTAAATTATTTAACATTTTGTACTGAAAACCATGTAGATATTTCTGTGAGTAAGATGTACATTAAATAAATTATCCTGTCAGTGATGTGACATAAAAGTTTGAAAAGTAGGGTTTGTGGGGCTTTTTGTTTAAATATCATGTTACAAATTTGTATTTTCTCTTAATAAAATAGCCTTCTGTGCCCTTTGGAAAATACAAAGTCAGAGTGAACAGTGAGAATTTATATTAAATCTAACTTCTGCACCTAAATGAAATACCAGTGAAGCCTGAAGGCCAAATTCTCCTAGTCCTGATGCCCATAAACAAATTATTACCCAGAAAAAAACTGCGCCCCTGGGTTTGATTAGATGAGTCAACTGTATTAGGGGCACACTGCAAAACCTGCCTTTTACTGGAGGAACTTGACACTGAAACAATTTCATACACTCATGTAAATGAATGCAGAAATGTTTCTGAAGGAATGAAACCCAAACCCAAGCTACAGCTGGGAGGAGAGAGCCTCGATTAAGTGCTTCTGTTTGATGGTGAGACACCTGATTTTTAGTGTGCAGGAGCAGCCAGGCACCTTCAGATGGTGAGTCAGAGCTGTAAGAGGGAGTAATTGGCTCCTAATTTGTATATTATTTTACTCTGTGCCTGTCTCCATCGGCTGCTGGAACCTTCTGGAGGTGGGTGCTGAGCTCCAAGAGTGTTGTAGCAGAATTCCTCTCCTAAAAACTCCAGCAAGCAGAGAGCAGCAGTTCCTCTGCATGTTGCTGGGTAGTGGTTGAGTTATTGTTATAATATTGAGTATTATTTTACTTGCATCTTTCAGATTGAGTTGTTTCCATATGCTGGTTTTATATGGAATACTAAGGGAAAAGAGGTTGACAGAGCCTTCATCCGTATATTGAATATTTTTATTTATTCCTAAGCGTGTTCTTGCTTAGGAGTAAGTGAAACTAATATCTTCAGTTTAGCAGTGTCAAAAAATAAGTTGGTTCTGTTAAAAATATCGCACTGAAACCCCTTCAGTTCATTTTTTTACTACTTTGATCATAACATCCATGTGTAAGTCTTACATATATTCTGGAACCAGGTAGCTTTAGTACCTGTGGCTGTTAGCTAAAAATTATCCAGGTTACAAAAACTAATCCATGGGAGCCAGAGTTGAATTAAAAAAGAAAGCAAACAGCAACCCAGACCAAAAACCCCCAGCAGGTTTTAAGAAACCATTGCCCCTTTTTCCTAAGTTCCTGTACTGAAAATGGAATTAATTCATCTTATCAAACATTGGTTTGGAAAATAAATGACACTTCTGCCAATTACTTTTTTCCTGAAACTCTAGCTTCCATCTTATCCATCCTTAAAGGAAAAAGAGATTGAAAAAAGAGAACTTTAAAGTTGTAGGACAGGTTTTTCATGTGTTTTCTGCATCCCAAGGAAGATACTTGTTTGTGAGAATGAGCCTCTCTTTGGAGATGGATATAAAGAAATGGAGGAGGGAAATCAGGTTCTTTTAAAGTTTTCTTTAGGCTTCTTGGGACTAGTTAGATTTATTTTTTTTTAAATAGTCTCTTAACAGAGACATGAAGTTAGCCTGTTAGATTCCTTTCCCTCTGAGCTTCTGTGCTCTTTTTACTTGAGGGATTTCAAGCAAGAAGTCACAGCACAAAAGCTGAGGAGGTGGGATGTATCCAAGAAAGGTTTATTGGAACACAGCCTGAAGGGGAGAGTCCTGACCTTTCTATTCTGAAGTGAGAGGAGTCAAGTTCAGAACAGGGAAAAGAAGTTTTGAAGAGCTGAAGTTGAGTCCCCACTCACTCTGTTGTAAGGAGTCACCAGAAGAAGTTAGTGTTGTTGGACAGGAGTACAAATGAAACTCTTTTTAGCCTCCCTCAGAGGTTCTGACTCCAAACTCCCTCTTTATTAAATTCTACAAGTGTATTTTAAGTGGCTAGAAGCAATCCCAGCCTGGAACTACTTGATTTGACTGACACTTAGTTGAAATAGTTGGGGAAAATTTCTTTTTTGATGTCATGGCAGGGAAGATGATGGAAGCACAGGCAGGTTAGCTGACAGCTTGTGGAATTCTTGGGCTCATTGGCTGGAGCTGCACAGACATTAAGGCTTCTCTTGTGGGTATCCAGATGCCAACTTAGAAATAAAGGTGAGCTGGATTTCCACAGGAAATGCAGATCCCTTGTATGTTAACCAAGCATTAAATACAGTGGATATATTCACTGCCTTTGTTTACAGAAGATTGAGTCCCAATTTATAGTCTGGGATTTCCATTTTGAGGCAATGCTCCGTGTATGTGCCAGTCATTTCACTGCCTGTGGTTTGGGTAAACCTTACCCTGCAAGGTTTTCATTTCTCCAGAATTAAAGCCTTGATATGAGGCATGTGATGGGGAAAAAAAAACCTCTCTTGTAAACTGTGGCTGGGATTGGAGTCTGTGGCTGCAGCTTTTGCCCACTTTGTACCCAAATAATAATAAAATGTGTTGTGGGTACTAATGAGTGTTTTGATTAGTAACTATCTGACTGCTGGAGTTAAGGAACTCTGCTTATGCAGGTTTAAGACTAAACATTTTAGAAGTTTAATTTGTTTAATCAGAAGTTAAGGGCATGTTGCAGGGTGAAATGTTATGATTTGTGTTAAGCTGGTAAACCCCATTTTTGTAATTGGTTCTTCCAGCTTTGAGAGAAAAACACCTAATAATGAAATTATGGGTGATTTTATTAGCCTGAGTTGCACCTGAGAAAGAAAGTCCTTGTTCAGTGAGGCTTAACTTCTCTCATGACATTTTCGAAGTAGTCACATCTGTCAGGTGTTTTTATGCCAGTGGTGAATAATAGCTCTGGGATACCTATTTGATCTCACATCAAAATAAAAGAAATTAATGGGTAAGCAGCAATGCAGTTTGAAATGCTGTCAGCCAATCTGTGAGTCACCCACAGTTGAATTTTTGTAATAAAAGACAGTGCATGGTATAATAATGTCTAATAACCATAATATTTTGCATTTCAATAGCACCTTTCATCCAAGAATCTCAAAGTGCTTTACAAACATAAACTCCCAATAAACTCAGTACTGCTCACAGTACTCCTGTGAGGTGGTGGGTAAGTATTACCCAGTTAAGGTTGGGAAAGTGAAGCACACAAAAGCTGAGGATAAAAAAGCTGGGATAGGTGGAGCAGGGGTTATCTCACTCCCTTGTTGTAGCTGTTAGGCCATGATTTGGTGTAATAACAGTTTATCAAATAAAGCTCATCCGTTTGATAGCTGAGAAGAAATAAATATGTGGGGGTAACATTAGAATCCTCTTGTTCTGAGGATGACTCAGGAGTGTGGGGGTTGTTCCTGCACTGAAGTTACCTGGAGTTACCTTTAGTCTCCAAGTGTGGATTTGCCTTGGTTGTGTTGTTGAATAAAAAGTCATTCAGGGTACTGAAGTGCCTTTGTATTTCATTTTGTCCAAAATGCACATTGTATCCTCACAAACCAGATTTATTCTAATCCTGGTACTCGTTTCTCTCACATTACACGGAGCTCAGCTGTAATTTTCAGACGTGGGTGGACATGTGATAATCCAGAGTCCAGCCAGTGCACTCATGCTCTGCAATTAGGTGCATAATTACACTTTTCCAAGCACTTTATTAATAATTTGGGATTTGAACTATGGGTGCAAGAAAAATAAAATAATGAATAGCTAAACGGAACAGCATTAAATCCCATATTTAGAACTGAATTTAATTAATTTCATCTTAATTTGCTTTGGAAATAAATTTTAAAAAATTAAATTTCAAACTTTAATTTCTGTACAATAATTTCTTGTAGTTTAAAGGTTCTGCTTCAGATTTATAGTTCTTGATAGAGATTACAGTGGTGAGGAACACCTGATGGAGGTGTCACAAGGCACCTTTATCCAGCTCCTTGCTGGATGTGTTCACCCTGTGGAGTTATTTGTACTCTGTACACAGCCTTTTCTCTTCTGTGTTTCTCTTCCATGTAGCTGAACTGGCTGTAACAAGTCATCCTCTCCTGGGAAAAAATTCACTGATCCCATGTTTATAATGGCCCAACGTCATGGGAGGGTGTCTGAAGTCCTTGTCAATGAAGTCAATGTTCTTATATTTTAGACTCCAGCCAAACTTCTGGCACTGTTTTCTCATTATTTTATCCAGAATATCACAGTTATGGTAAAATAGTATGATAAAAAGATGAATCCACCTCATGTTTGGTTTGTAGAATTCAGACAACACACGGGATGGGTGGAAGGAACAACAGGATTTGAATATATTTCATGTATCAGCTGCAGTGGCTGAGATGTGCAGATCACTGTCAGTTCCATTCTCTAGGCTATAGTTACATTTCAGGTCAGGAGATACTTCTTTAAAATGAGTTTATTGTAAGTTTAAAATTAAATAGGCATTACAGGACAAAATTTTGAAGCATTTACCGATTTCTATATGTGAATTAAAACCTGCTAACTTTAGTTCATGTATGTAAAACTGCACTGCAATAATAGAAGGTGAATCCGAGACATTTTAGCATGTAATTCTGCACAGTTGTGGCATTTTACTTCTTCAAAATGACATTTATTTAGCAGAGAACAGAATAGTAGTATTTGAAATATTTGAACTACTAGGCTGTTGCTGTGTCCAGAGCTCGTGGAAAATAAACCCATTTTTCTTTCCTAGGGTATATTTCCGAAATCGCTGGGTAAAGACTGTTCACCCAGTTGTGCATCAGTACTGTTTGATATCAAGCACACATTCCACCTTTCAGATGCCACAAAAAGAGGACATCCTTAAGCAACGAGTGGTAGTTGTTACTTTAAATACATCACAGTATCTATGTCAGCTGGATCTTGAACCAGGTAAGATAATTTCTAGACAAGAAGTGTCCATGCTTGAGGAATATCTTCCTCTTGCCAGTGTTGCTCCCTTACCCAATTCTTGGAACTGTTAAAAAATAAACAGTGATGATCTTAAAATGCTCTTTTGTTTTTTTATGAACAAATGTTTATTACAAAGCTGTCAACTGCTGGCATTCTGATTAACCTTTTGCTTGTTCTTCTTTTTCCTTCTTTAAAAAAAATTAAATAAAGAAGCAGTACTATCTATGATCTGGTGTTTCTGAGGTCCAAGAGGGAAAATTCTTTTTGAGATTCTGACTTTGAATATTATGCTCATTAAGGTCATTACTCAGTGGAGCATGTAAGCATAAATAACAGAGCTCTTTTCCCTTGTTTTGAGAATTGTTTAGTTTTGTAGACAACTCCCACAAATACAAGCCCTGTCTTGGTTAACATGATACATGATAAACTGAAATATATTAGACTGATTTTTTTGGGGCAGAGGCTGCTTAGGGTTTATTATTTTCCTGATCTCCAAATTAAATAATCTGATTTTTGGAGAACATGGAAGTTCTTTACATAAGTTGTTAAGGTTAGTTTTTTATGGCTACATTTAAGCATTTGTTGCAGCAGAGAAAACTAATATGGAATTTATGGTAAATATTTTTGGGTCTTCAGGCAGAAATAGCTTCTTTGTTTGGCAGTGGGCTGTGTACAGTGATGCCATGGCAATGTCTGTGCAGCTGTGTGAAATTCATGTTTTCCAAAGAAAATTGCTACATTTTTATGTATGTAATCTGCATTGGATGGTGCTCCAACTAAGTCCTCTAATACTTTGTTTTAAACCTTAATATATCACAGACATCAATGCATAAAACCACTTCTATACCTATCCTGAGTTTAGATTTCATAAAATGTAAATCTACAGTGGCCAAGTTTTTTTTTCAAGTGCATGTTCTCCAGTGTGTAGATTCCCACCAAACCTTTGGTCCAATATTATCATAAGATTGAATTTAAATTTTCCTTCAACTTCTGTTCCTTTTTTCCCCCCCAACATTCCTTTAAGCCCATAACCAGCAAAATGCTCAGGTATGTGTGCAACTTTAATGGGAAATTTAGTATATAAAATAGTTACTAGGGCTCAAGTACATGAGGAATTCCTTGTCATTGTCACTGTCCAAAGCTTTTCAACTTTCATGGTGGTGAAATGACTTTCAGATTTGAGAACCTCTTGAGGGATGGTCTGCCAAGAGATATTTCTTCTTGGTTTAAGGAGGGCTCAGATAAAACTCGTGTTTAGTTTCATGAGTATCACAAGAAAGAGGCAGACCTGGGGGCTCCTGCTAATGTCCCTGGCAACCAGGTGACATTTGTTGGTCATTTGATGGGTTTGAAAATTGTGTGGTTTTCAGTAGTTGCTAGAAGTTAATTTGTGTGAGCCATATTTTTTTTTTTTTAAATTCTAGTTCTGGTTGCTATCAGAATACAGGATGTTAAGTTCAAGTTCTTGTTTTGTTACTAATATTAACTTTATCATATTTCAAGTTTCATTTATTTGCTGATATCTCTGTTTTACAGGGTTTTTTACACACATTCTGTTAGATGAAGCTGCTCAAGCTATGGAGTGTGAAACAATTATGCCTCTAGCATTAGCTAATAAAAACACAAGAATTGTCTTGGCTGGAGACCATATGCAGGTAAGAGCTATGCAATTTTTGAGGTTGAAGTGCATATGTAGAGTATTTGTATTTATCTATTTCAGTTATTTATCTGCATAATCACATAATAGATGGGGAATCCAAGGAGAATTCCAGGGATGTTATTTGAGTAAGATATGAGGATATTTGTTAAAGTCAGGAGTTCATGACTGGTATTACCTGTTGATTTTTAAAAGAATTCAAGAGTATGGAGAATTAGGATTGACAGAACTTTAAATTTTCATTAGAAGCATCTAATCTGGTGAAGATTTGAACAAGTGAAAAATGGGAAACTGAAACTAGCCAGTGCTTTTATGTTTTTGCAAAGTGCCTGGGAGCTGCTTGGTTTGGAGAGTTTAAAACACTGATTATGGCTGTCATTTTGCAGCCTGTAGGCATGAGAAAGCATGCTTGGAAAAGTCAGCTTTACTTGCTTTATTGATTTAGGCCAGATTTATTTGTTTTTATAGATTTGCCTTTAATTCTCTTTGCATCTCCCAGTAGCAGTAGAGTGGATTTTTGCTTTGGTACAGTAACAAACTCAGAATGGTGTTGCCACCTATGATTTAATGCTACTGGATAATTTCAATGATATTAGTAATGTCAAGGACTGGGGTAGTGCTTTTTATATAATGCTCTCAAAATGCTTTTCAAGAGCTTGGAATTCTTACTTCAGGCTTGATCTCATCAGCCCAGCTGGGTGGGTGAAGTCTTCCCTGTGTGTCTCAGGCTGCTCTATAGCTCAGGGTCTTACAGGAGATCCTCTCTCAGGTGTCCAGCATTTAAATTTCAAAAACTAATATTTAGCTGAAGTGAAACTCAAGACTCTGAATCATATTTATTCAGAATGACAAAATAGATTGGCTTAGTTTCTACACTTGGAAATTGTATTTTAAAAATCTCATTTTTATCATCTTTGGTTCTGTTTTTCCTGCTATAATAGATGGTGGTTTTATTGTTAAACAGGCCCCTAGGAGTTTAGTGTAATAGTAAATAGGTCACTGGGTTTTTGTTTTTTCAACAACATTTCTATTTAACTTTTTAAATGGTACTAAAATGTCTTTGTTTTCTGATTTGTACTATTTGTGGTAATAACTTAATTGTAAAAGTGGTTGTCAGAATAATAGTGTATTCTAAACACAGTTTTGAGTGTTAAACTTAGATAGAAGGGCTCTGCATAGTTATTGAATATTTTATTGTTCCTTTAAGACCATGCTGGTCTTTTGTTACTTTTCTGGTAGGAAGGAGCATTTCTGTGGAATAGCTGTGGTCTTTGTCTTCCAATGATGAATGTCCAGTAAAAGGGAGGTTTCATTTTTGGTTTGATGCAAAAACAATGCAAATACATATGCTGGGAGCATGAAATTCCAAGTCCACCCATTTAGTTACATTTTCTTTGTGTGTGTGTGTCTATTACAGCTCAGTCCTTTTGTCTACAGTGAATTTGCCAGGGAGAGAAACCTTCATGTTTCCTTGCTCGACCGGCTCTACGAGCACTACCCTGCAGAATTCCCGTGCAGGATCCTGCTGTGTGAGAACTATCGCTCCCATGAAGCAATCATCAAGTAGGTGTGAACTTTTTCACTGTATCATGTGCTTCTTCTGACTGCTTGCAAGTAAGCAAAAGAGCCAAGCACAGCTGAAGTGTTTCTGTCATGAAATCTTATTTGTTTCAAAGTTAATTAGTGATTCTGTGTTGTAATTTGGTCTCCTAGAGCAGCTGCCAGGGCTGTGGGACAGAACCCTCATTCAGGTGGGGGTGCTTTGGCTGCTTGCACACTAAACCAAAGAAGAGCCAACTTTCCCTTTTTAACCATCCAGAAGTCTATTATATAGGCTCTGTGCTTCTTTGAACCATTTCAGAATTTTAGATTTACTGGGGTGAATTATCTTGGAATGGTAAGCTGTGGGCAATGTAAGGAACATATGGATATGCAACTGTGAATGGAAAAAATAGGTCAAATTTTGAGCATGTTTCTTTACTGTTGACATCTTTTTTTACTTCTTTCAAGACAAATTAATCAGTGGGTTTGCATTTTTATGCTGTGATAAACTAATGGCTGCCAGTGTAATGAGCTCATCCACGAGCTGTGCTGGAAAGAGTAAGTGCAATCATGGGGAAAAATGCTAAAGTTTAAATCCTGGCTCAAATATATACTGAGGAATATTATGTTGGTATCCAGTCATACTAATTAGGTTATGACTGTGTTCAAAGCAAAAACAGAAATATTTAAGTGCTCTGGGGAATCAAAAGTGAGAATCTAAAATACTTTTTTTACATAGCTTGATCTGTCTTCACTTTATGGGCTTTGTAATTATAGGCTGAGTGCTGCTTAATTTCTTACCCATTTTTTGAGTTTCTGGATTTGAAATGAGAGAACATCTGTAAAGGAAGGGATCATTTCAGCTTTTCTTTAGAGATCACTTCCATGTCATTTGCCTCAGAAAGATCATGAAAATTCACTTCAGCAGGAGTTCAGACAGGGAGTTCCAAGGAAGATTCACTGTGTTGAACACCGAGGCGAGGATGCAGAAACACCACTGGGACTGGTTGGTTCTCTGGTGAAAGTCCAGTGTGCCCAGTTCCACTGGGAGGTGTTGCTGTGTGAGGGGAAAACAGCTGAACACTCTCATGGTGGGCCCTTTAGGAGATGTTTCAAGTCTCTTTTTTTGTATAATATGGAATTTCCCTTGACAAATGGGACCGTGACACTTAGGACAGAAGTGTAGGAAGATGAAGGGCTCATTAATCATCTCTACCTCACTGAAGCAGAGACACCATGAGAAATTGAGGAAAGAAGGAGCCATTAGTTCAGCCTGACTTTGGAGCTGTAATTGGAAAAAACAGCCCATACAGAAAAGTTTAGTTGTTTAATGAGATCTCATTACTAAAAGTTAATTTGCAGAAGAGATTGGTTAGTTTTGCCCCCTGGCTGCTGTGGAGTGACAACCCAGCCCAGATTGGAGCCCAGTGTTCTTCAGGGTTGTCCAGGGTAAGCCAATTCAGGTCAGGGGTGGGCTGTAGTGCTTTGATGGTGATTTGGCATGAGCAGCTGTTTCCATCTTAAGCTGCAGTTCTGGAATCCTGGAAGAACTCGATGGACCCACCTGAGCTGCACAGTCTCCTGCTTTGGTTGTCTTCATGTCAGGCTGTACTGAGGTTACTGCAGCCTCTGAGTGATATCCAAAGAAGGTTAAGGTTGGAGGCTGAGCATTGAAAGTGAGATGGTACCAAAATTCACTAATTACTGGAAGCCAGTGCATTCATTTAGCTCTACTGTGCAATAGCAACACAGCATTTGCAGCTCTCTGCAGTCTCTCCTTGCTGCCTTTTTGTCTCATTCCATTCACTTTGCCTTTTTCCCTCCTACATTTCACCATGAAGTAGTTCTTGCCTCATTTCTTTTTCAGTCAGCCAGCTGCTGGAATGGCTGCTGCCAGCAGAGGAGCTCTATTGTGGTTGTGTTTCTGGTCTCTAGCAACATAGATCAGCCTGGAGTAGAAGTCACAGAAGAAAAGCTTGGTTGACAGCTGAACGCTTGGCCTGCGTCGTGCTCAGTGCACACGAAATCTGTAGTAAATTTATCTTCCATGTTCAATAACTCTTAACTGACATGAGCAAGCTCATTGTCCAGCCTGGGGAATAACCAGTGCCTGACAGCAAGTGTTCTTTTGCCCAGTTTTCAGCCATCAGAACTTCTGAGTGAAGCATCAGTGAGAATGTTCATAACTTTGTCGAGCTTTAGATGAGAAGAAAAAACAGCCTTTGTAGAAAAACTGTTGGAGAAGCATATTTTTAGTACCTTCTGCTGTGTCTGTAGTAGGGAAATATCAGTTCAGAGGAATCATTTGAAGATGCTGAATAGTAATCAGCGGTTCTGTTTTCCTTATGAAGTATTTTGTGGTTGCATATTTCATCAGGGAGATTTGCATATTTTATCAGTGAGCTCATGTGTAGACTCCACATTTTACCCTGTTTTGCCTTGTTACAGTTACACATCCGAACTTTTCTATGAAGGCAAATTGATGGCAAGTGGAAAGCAGCCAGCACACAAAGATTTCTACCCTTTGACTTTCTTCACAGCACGTGGAGAAGATGTGCAAGAAAAAAATAGTACAGCTTTTTACAATAATGCAGAGGTAACTTTTTGCTTTTACTCTTGATTGTTTTCTTAAAGCTCCACTCTCCCAAATTTACTGGTTTATGCCCAGTGTGGGTGGAAGACATAAATTGTCCTCTACTAGGAAAGGGGAACATGGAGTTCGCTAAACATGATGTAATGAAAATTGCAATTGTAGTAAACATTTCCACTAATTTACCTTCTTTTTTCTCTGCAAATTATAAGCCACATCTCATTCTCCCAGGCTCATTCTTCAGGATGTCTTTCCTGATAATTTATGTGACATTCTGATGGATGTATCTTAGCAACTGAGAGTAACTGCAATTTGAAGTAAAACTTAGATTTCTTTGACTGTTGTAGAAATGTTCCCACTCAGATAAGAGTCCTCTGGAGTAACATTTCACATTTCCTTTAATATGTTTAGGATCAGTGTCTAACTGATAATGCGCAGATGAGATTCTTTTAGGTGAGAACTTATTCTCCATGTGTTTGTTTCACATAGATTTATTTGTATTCTTCAAAAATTACTTTCATTCTGATTCCTTCCCTTGTGTTTAAAAGTACCAAACAACCTGAGCCCACAAGAACAAACACATGCAGCAGCACCCACCTCCCACCTGACCTGATAATGCTTTTCATAGTGGAAGGTGCCTTTTCCCAGTCACCTCCAGTTAGGGGAGAGAGAGAAAAATCAAAGAAATAACAGTAATTTTCATAAGCTTAGGAGGAATTTCTGGTTAGTGCTTGTTACAAAGCACTGCAGAGCTGCCTGTTTCCCCTTGTTGTTCATGGTGAGGTTCATCTGCTGCACAATCTGAAACCTGTTTGTTGTTGTTGTGCTGCATTTGTTAAACATTCTTTGCTGTGTTAAAATATCTTCTTAAATAAGAGGCTCCAATGACTTCTGGACACCTGACTGCTTTTATTAATCTACTTGGATTGCTTTGCCATTTAAAAAAAGTTGTAAAAGACCTAAAAATATCTTCAATGGCCAAGTAACTGTCTGAAAACTGTGAGTCATTAATGGCCACAGGCAGAAATGAAGGACAACGGCTCCTTAAACACCAGCAGGAAAAAGTGAAATTAGATGATGAGTGAGAATTTTTTGTTTGACCCTTAATGGATGTTTGCATTGGGGCATCTTGTGGTTCATTGATGCCTATATTAAGAATTATTTTTAATATTAATATGTGAGGGAAATACACTTTTCCTTGTTGGTCTTCATTTTAAAATTTCCCTATGTTGTATTAATTCTAAATACATACCCAGAAGCTATATACTTTCAGAGAATCTTGCCAAAATACCTACAAAGGATTATTATTTTTGTGCTATGGTTTTTATAGATATCAAAGTTTATTCTAATATCCTTTGTCAGTAGAGCTGGCTTTTAAATGCAAGAATTGATGTCACAAAAACATTCAGGACTTGCTTAAAAACAGTCCCATATTTTCACTGTCCTCTGAAACTGCCAAAAATAAACTATTTGTGACTTTTTAAGGATTAACAGATATTTTTTTTGCCTTTTGGAGGCTGAGCTTGCATTTGTGATTCTGTAGGAAAACAGCATCATGAATTACCATGCTTTAAATAGCTGGAGAAATATTTATTGAATGTAAATTAAAAATAATAATAATAATAATAAAAAAAGGAATCACAATCACCTTCTATAAAGTTACTCAGAAATACCCTGTGCAGTGCAGTACCTCTGGTGTGTTAAAATGAGCTGCTCAGGCAGGAGGTTACTTGGAGGCTGTCTCCTCACAGGGGGAGGTTTTCAGGTTTTATTACACATTAGTCTTCTCAGGTAGCACATTTCATAGTATTTCACAGAGAGGAACTAGCAGTTGATGAATAATCTGAAACTCCCAATGGTATCCTTTGGAATAGAAGATGACTCTGCTCGGGTATACGGACTCTGTGTCTAGAGTTATCAGACTCTAGGATGACATATATCAAATCCAGAATAAAAATTAAATTATATCTATTTAGGCAGTACATTTACTTACAGAAATAAGTTGAAGTATGACAAGAAATGCCATACTTCTTGACATTTTTGTAAGAACCTAAGAATGAAAATTAAGATTATTAATGTAATTTTGAAGTTTGCAATTTTAACTGCGGCTTTTGTGAGAAAACTTATTTCAAGATGAAAAAGGGTTCTGTATAGTGAATACTTGTTTTAATCCAGGATACTTTAGAGGATCACTGTAGGATGCAGTAGTATCATTGCTTGTGTAACACTGTGTCATGTAAGTGTTTCAGAGCTTTAAAGCTCAAATTCCCTTTCCATATCAAAGAGTGATGCTCAGTGGGGCATGGCTTTTAAGAATCCTGCCTTTCTTCCAAGGTGTTTGAAGTGGTGGAGCGTGTGGAGGAGCTGAGGAGGAAGTGGCCCGTGGCCTGGGGCAAGCTGGACGATGGCAGCATCGGGGTGGTGACCCCATACGCTGACCAGGTGTTCCGCATCCGCGCCGAGCTGCGCAAGAAGCGCCTGTCCGACGTCAGCGTGGAGAGGGTGCTCAACGTGCAGGGTGAGGAGCAGGGCTGGGGCCCAGAGCTGGGCTGGGCAGGGGGAAATGTGTCTGCTGCAATAATAACTTCATAAAATTACCTTATAATTTACTAAAATTCCCCTAAAGCCGTGGCAGCAAAAGGAGAGCTGCGGTGCAGATGTTGCTCCAGTGTTGACTGTAAACTCGTGGATGTGAGATTTATCTTTTCTCAAAAAGATATCTTTGCCTTTTCTCAAAATTTAGTTCAACCTTACTTAAAAAATAAGTTGAGTGAAAATTGTGGAAACTGATAGATTTTAAACATAAATCAAACGTTTTTAACAAACTGATAGGTTTGAGAGTTCCAATAACAGAGCTTTATCAGAATGTTTTACTGATTTCTATTCCATCTGTGGAATAAACTGCAAGGAGCCTAAAAATTTAGGTGTTTCTTCCTGAAATCACATTGATAACAAGGATTTTGTGTAGGCATAGCCTGTTGCTAGGTTGCACTTCTAGTCAGTAATAAACAAAGGCAGATGATAAAGTAACTGAGTGACAGTGAGTGGTTTGCTCTGTTTTTTCATGGTGGATATTCATGTATTTGAGAAATTTAAAAATCTGAATCAAGAATGTCCAGAATTTGTTTTTAAGGTAGAATAAATAAATTCAAGATTTGTTGTTGACTGATAGGCAATGGTGTAAAGATAATTAACATTTCAGAAAGTTCAGGAGTGATTAATATCAAGGTGAAAAAGTAAGTTTTTTAAAGAGGAAATATTCTTGTAATGGAATATGCTATTTATAGTGCATCTTTTAAAAATTTTAAATCTTATTATTCTTGCATAAAGCTCTTCATGTGAAGGGTAGTTATGAGTTCAGAACATCTAGGTGTGAAATTTGGCTGGCAAGGGCAGTGGTCTGGCCATGGTATGAACAGAAATAGCAACAGTTATCTCAGAGATGTTTTTTGTTTCATTTTAGGAAAACAGTTCAGAGTTTTGTTCCTCAGCACAGTACGAACACGGCACACATGCAAACATAAGCAAACTCCAATTAAAAGGAAAGAGCAGTTACTGGAGGATTCAACAGAAGACTTGGATTATGGTTTTCTGTCTAATTACAAACTTCTCAACACTGCCATTACAAGAGCACAATCCTTGGTAGCTGTGGTGGGAGATCCTATTGCTTTATGTTCCATTGGAAGATGCAGGTAATTTCTTTATGTTCCTTGGTTAATTAGGGCTGGGGGTACTGGCAAACATGTTTATCTGTGACTGGTGGGTTTGGAAAAGTGATGGTTGTCACCATGTACAGCAGGGAAAAATACGAGATACCTGGCCATTGATAACCTGTCTTTTCATGTATTTATATTGCTCAGATTTTCACTTCACACTAACAATTGAACATGCTTCATTTTACTTTCTAGTAGGGGTTTTTGTATACCTGTTACGATTTTATACAAATTTTATACAAATAAAAGTAATAAGTGATTTGGAGTTTCAAATTGTGATGTAATGTGGTATTTAAAAGTTGAATATTATGGCAGTTGTAGGACGGTAAAAGACTTGAAAAACATTATTTATGTTTTGATAGGTCTTCGTGACACTAGGAAAAAACTCAGTAAGATTTGAGTGAATTTACATTTTATAGACCTAAATGAAGAAATGAGAAAAATGCTGAGATATGTAAACACTTGTGTTAAAGATTCCAAGTTCTTGTTCTTCAAAGGCTTTTTTTCCAATGGAAGAGCTGAAATTTTGAGATGATCAGAGATAAACCCTGCAGCTTATTCTCGAAGAGAGGAAACAGTGCACTGACTACATTATTAAAATAAAGCTAAAAATACATGTTAGTTGTTATATCTGTGTTGTGTTCTACTTTCCTGAGCAATGCTTCTTCTACTGTATTGAAAAGGGATGTGGTTTTCAAAGATTAGAGTTGAAAAAGGCATGTGGGACCCAAGCCTTTGTTTACTGTATTTATGAGATATAACCTGAATTTTGCCACTTCCCTGCTGGGGCCACATCAGGAGTATCTGTACATGAATTCTGCTTTAAATGGCTTCTAACATCTTACTGCCAGAGAAATAATTATTGTGGATTTAGTTCACTTTTCCCTTTACCTGGTTGGGTTTTTTTAGTCATGGGCTGGTTTATGTAATGAGCCCCTGTGCCTCTTGGGTGCTCTTTCAAAATATCTGAAATAAAGCAGGCAAAAACTTAATAAAATCAAAATACAGGCTGTCAGTAGTAAATAAATTACAGTGCTGGCAGTTAATGATTGACTTTCCATTTTGAAGACCAGCAGCTGTTTATAGACGTAGAGCTGTTCCAAATTATAAAACTGAAAGATAATTAAGAAACAAGGAGCACTGAAACTTTATTAAGATGTATCTTGAGCTTTCCCTTTAATACACCATTGTCTTGTTTCACTGAATAATTGAACATTCACTCTTTGAAAATAGTGCTGGAGGGGCTCAGGGAGGCTGCTGGGAAGATGGTTCTTTTTTAGTACAACAGGAGTAGAGAAGTCTGAAAGAAGTGACATTTCGTTAGGAAAAACAGACCTCAAAAAAGTTGAGAGTGTACTTGAATTTTATAAATATTCTAATACCTGTCAAAATGAGTCAAGACTGTAATGATAGTTGTAGAGAGCTTTGTGAAGTATGCCCAGGGTAATCATTGCATTCCTGTGTGCTCCAACTGGACTAGACAGGGCTGTTTTGGCAGACACCCCCTTTAAACTCTTGAGCACACTCGGAGATGGCAGGGTTTTATTCTCTGTTCTTACAGCCCAGAACAAGTGTTCCATGTGTAGAGAGACTGCTTGGGGCATTCTCAGCATTCTCAGCAAAAGTGGATGGGTCTCAGTGGATTTGTGGTACTTGGCAGTAGGTTTGGTGACTGAATTGATTAATCAGAGGGAATTCCATCATTAAAGCATCCCGGTGATGCATTTAATTTTGGTTTTTAATTCTCATTTAAAACTTTGCAAGATCTGTTTGCCTTAGAGCAAAATGCAGAAAAAGGGCCAACTTGCATCCTAAATTTTAAAAGAGCATTTCTTGCCTCTATAAAATCACACTAGAAATGGGCTTTTATGGAAAACTACTTTGAATTCTTAAAAACATCACTAGCACCACAGCATTCTTGCAAGACAGACATTTGTTCTTTCTCATAAAGTCAGCTACTCAGCAAAATGTAACATTGCTGGTACAATTAGTGTGCAGCAATCTCTCATTCTGCAGGTTTTGGGGAAAGAACAGTGCTTGCTCTTAGGCCAGACCTTTTTTCTGAAGGGTGAACAGGAGTTATAGTCAGGCACACCTTTACTCTTGATATTTTTGAAAGAGACAACTCAGGTTTTTTGGTTTTTCTTTAAAGTGACATCTTCAGACCTTATTTAAATATCTTTTAAGCTTCAGTAACGTCACCCAAAAAGTTCCTTTGAGGGTTAAAAAAAATAATAAAATTTGTAAGTGTAAAATTTTGTATAGATCCTGCTGTGGATGTTAACCAAAAAAAAAGAGTTTTTTTTAATAAAGCAGTAGAAAGACATGTCATGAGAAAGGAGAAGACAGGGAGGAATGTTCTTAATGTTCTTTTATTACGTGGTTTAAATAATCCCCCCATCCTCCAAAAAGTTGGAAACAGAATTTTCCTAAACAAGTCATGCATCATCTGATGGTTGTTTTCCTAGCTGAAAAATTCTATATGTTATAGAAAAATCTGACACGCACTAAAATTTATGGTTTTGTTTGTTTTCCACTAGAGGATCTCAAAGAATCTCTGGAAACTCCCAAAAATATTTTTACATGCCTCTGAAGTGTTTCCTGAGAGTGGTTTTGAGGGCATATCTCAAAGCCCTTTGTATTTATTTTTTGTTAGCTTTAGTATTTGTTACACTGAGGGATCTGCCTAAATTCGGAGAGTGTTCTTGACATCTTCTGGAACTGAGAGTCTGTGTCATTCCTGTGACTGTTTCAGCTTCAACGAATGCCTTAAGTCGCATACATTCCAGAATTTTAAGCATTGAGTTTACTGTTTTTGGTTTTCTAGGAAGAAGTTCTGAGTTGGAGCTGTCCATGGCATTAATATTAAATGTGGTACCCAGCCAGTGCTGTGATCTGAAGCACATGGACAGAGCTGTGTGTCCATTTGGAATGGCTGGGGAGCTTTGCACTGTGCTGTGGGGTTCAGCTGCAGGGAGCAGGTTCAGGGTGGATGGATTGGTGTGTAAAATGAGCACAAACAAAAAATGAAAATGTCCCTCAGTTACATTGAATCTGTTTTCGTTTTAATAACAACCAGTGAGCCTTCCTTACTGTTTCTAAAAATCATTTCCATAGGAAATTCTGGGAAAGGTTTATTGCCCTGTGCCACGAGAACGAAAGTCTTCATGGCATCACGTTTGAGCAGATCAAAGCTCAGCTGGAAGCTCTGGAGTTAAAGAAAACCTACGTGTTGAACCCTCTGGCCCCCGAGTTCATCCCCCGAGCTCTGCGGCATCAGCACTCAGCCAATCCCACCAAACAGCAGCAGTCACCTCCAAAGGTAAAGTGTTACTGGTGATGGGTTCTGTCAGAAACTGCATGTGAATGTAGAGAAATAACATGAAAGGTTTATGGAACAAGCTGTTTGTTTTAAAATTGCATCAGTGCAATCAGATATGAATGCAAATTCCAAAGGGATCCTCAGCATTTTCAAGTTAAAGCTCTAGGCTTGTATTATCATAAAGTTCTTAACAATACAGCTTGGGGTTGTCCAAGCCTCGTTTCCTTACTAAAACACACCTTGGCTCACTCTGGCATGTTCATTGATGGTTTTGCAGTGACCCTGGAACACTTCAGCCATGGAAACTCAATAGTTAGATAAACCAGATTAAAACCTCTGAGCAAGAGCCAGTCTCAAGCTGTGCTGTGATTGTACCCCAAGCAACAACAGGTTGATACAGGCAGTGACAAGGAGTAAAAGAAGCCAACAAAATAATAGCCAAAAGGGATTTGGTTTGGTCTAAAAATCACATTTAAAATTCAAGGACTTAAGTTATGTAAGATAATTTTTGATGTAATTAAAAATATGTTGTAAACTGGTTTATTGCACAGATTAGCTCAGTGATAATGTCCTTCAGAAAACCAGATTTCATTAGCATCGAGAGGGCAGAGAAATAAAATCACCTCTGAGTGGTAATTTCATCGGCTCTTTTTATAAAAGCAGGTGAAGAAGTGATGAAAATACAATTGCTTCCTTAGGATGATGAAGAATGATACTAAATTTTAGAGCTTTCTTTTGGGGGTGATATATTAGTAATGAATTTTATTTTAATAATTCTTTGTAGTTTATATTAAAATCATTTTGGGTTGTAATTTAATTAAACTGCATTTAGAGATGGAACTGGAATGCAGGTTGTCAGCTTTGTGATGAACTCGGTGTACAGGAAGGAGGAACTGCACATATTTCCCATAGCTTTGCATTTCTGTTCCAGGCTGTATCATTGAAATGAAATTTTTACAGCAGGTTTTTTTAATACAAAAAGGAAAGCCTTCCCTTTGGCAGTCCTTCCCAAAAGGGAGCTTGTAAGTGAGAACATTTGGTTTCTTTATCAAGATGCTTGCATTACTTTCTGAAACAAACACCAGATTTCTAAAGCTTCTAGTCATGTGTCAAAACACTGGGCCTACAGAAAACCAGAAATTACAAAATTGTCTTTAAAAGCCACTGCTGTATTCTCATTTTTCATGAGCTCTTCAGTCTTCTCCTTAATAATAGAACATCATTATTAATACTTTTAGTTTCCTAAATAAATAAAAAAAAGTACTTGAAAATGCAGGTATAGTACATTTAGGAAAAAAGGGGGAGTGTGTGTTGGGGAAAGTGAGAGCCTTGTAAGTAGACAGCTCTGTTTATTTTGCTTTAGTTTGTTGGTAAACTAAGCCCTTGTGCTGTTCAAACTGCCAGCACTCTATTTTCAGCTTAAGATCTGAAGTGTTTAAACCACCTATGTCACAAGTCTAAATAAAATCTTCCCTGTGAATGCCATTGACAGGTAGTGAGTCTGTGCAGTAACAGCAGAGCAGTGAGCAGGTAATAATCAAATACTCGGAGAACACAGCTGGGATCAGGGATACATTTCCCTTTGCTCAAGTTTTAAAAGCAGATGGTTGGTTTTGCTTATTTTAGAAGTCCTAAGCACAGTATTTAACATTAAAAATGAAGGATTAAAACCTAGAGCTGGTGTATTTTGTAGCAAAAAAAAAAGAACCGTCTCCAATCCATGTTTTGTGGTGAGTTTATGGATTTTATGCAATGCAGGGCTTGTCTTTCACACGTGCTGAAAAGTGGTGTTGTACAAACAGCACTTCTTACTCAGCAGAATTGCTCCTGGATTTATGTAGGGACATTAAAAACCTCTTTGCTGTTTAGATTTTAAAGAAGGAAAAAATGTTTTTTGTGTGTGTGAGAGGCCAAGAGGCAGCGTGGAGCTGCGAGGGCAGTGCCTTGTGCCGTGTTCGTGTGGCTTGGCCAGGCAGGGGAGTGGGGAAGGAGCGTGGGAGCTGGATGGGGACAGCCTTTATTGAAGGTGATGATGTGGAAAGGGAAAGATTCCAGAACTCGGAGCTTCCCTCGGGGTAGTTCACGTACAGTAAATTAAGCTCTGAGTTTACAACTTTCCTACCTCCCACTCGCTGCCTGCCAGCTTTTGGTCTGGATTCAGGCACTTAAATCAGGGTGCATCATCATCCCAGCCATTTCCTGCAGTCAGGGAGGACCACAGGTCGGAATAAATCTCTGGAGAGCTCTCTCTACTCGCGTTTGTTGACTGAAGGGGGATCCGAGGAATGACGAGGCTGTTAACTGCCTGCAGTCACCCAAATCTTGGTCTGGGCTTCCTCTGAGAGCCTTTATGTAATGTGGATTTTTATATTCCAAAGGTGGAGCGAGTTTTTAGAGGAAACTGAGTGTATTTGTGCTCCAGTGTTGTCAGTCACCGTCAGTTCTAGGGTAGGTTTAGGTATTTGGAGATGGGTGGGGACATGAGCCTTGGTGTGAAAATCATTGAGAAATGGCAACAATTGAATTCATAACAGACTTTCATAACTTTTTAGAAAGCCTTCAAAACTGTGAAGAGAAAAAGAAAAAAGAAAGGCAGCAGCTCCCTTCCCCAACTTCCTGGTGACCCCTGGTGACTTTTATTTACCAGTCTGATATAGGGACATGCTGAAGCTCCCAGTGAGCAGGACAGCTCCTCTTACAAACTTACATTATTATTTTCTTGCAAATTGATGTAATTATTTGGTATTTCAGTTTGAAGAATATGGCACCTCTAAAATACAGGTCTGATAGTTTAGAGGAGAGGTTTGTCAGACCTCTGCACACGCTGCTTGCCTCTGACATTGTAACAGATACAGAAATGCTGTGTGCTGTCCATGAGTGATTAAGGCTGTAGCTCCTCCATGTTTTTAGATTGAATCTTTCTCTGTTGAATAAACAGGCTTCCTTTGTTTAAGTGCTGCAATGAAAAGCAATTATTATTTTATTTTTCCATAATTCATTTTTCAAATGAGAGGAAAATTTGGAGACCAGTTCTTTAATCTGGTTTATGCATGAGTCAACATTGTCAAACAACCTGTCTTTGTACCCTGACTAATTTGCTCAGAGTGCTGGAAAACTGCCTAGACTTATCTCCTGGCAAGAAAAGTTTTGCAGCATCAAAGCGTTTTTAGATTTATTTTAAATTTGTGAATGTACTTAGGTCCAGATTAAGTAAAGTATTTCTGTGCTGCAAAGGACTTGAGAGCATACTGGCAATGGAATATGTGCTCACAGTTTATGAATATTAACTAATTAGTTGATGCTGCAAACTCATGAGAAAGTAGAAGGGATAACTCAGGTCTGTTAAAATCCTTTTCTAATGTACAGTTCACTAAGGAAGAACAGTTTCCCCAAGCTGTTTACTTCTTCTTTACTCTCCTTTGTTGCACTTTTGGGGAGCAGTCACAGAGGAGGCAGAGCCCAGAAGCTGACAAATGAGATGGGGCAGGGAGACAACATCTCATGGGGATGGGTGGGCAGCTGAGTAAAACTGGGGGCAGCTCCTTTGTCTCCAACATCATTGAGCTGGAATCTGGAGCTGAAAATGGATCATACTTCCTCTAAAGCTGCCATGGCAGAGGAGTACTGAGAGTTCCATTGGTCCTGGGTGCTGCTCCTGAAAGATGTGGGACAGTGGGAAATAAAATGGTGAGAAAAGAAACTTGAAATGTCTGCTGTAACTCTCTTTGCATCTGAAAACAGTCAGAAAACTTGGGAGAAAGTTTTCCCAGAGGGAGTTGTAATGACCCACTGGTTAATTGAATTAGTGGTGTTTTATGTCCAGCTTTGTGAATTCATAGGTGGTGGAACTGGATGGTTGAATGTGTAAGAATAAACTGTTGGGCTGACTCCTTTCAAACTCTGTTTTATGTTTAATTATCATGTTCACTTGAAATAAAAAGCTCTGGTTTGTGTAAGAATGCAAAGATTACTATTATTGGTTTTTTTTCCTTTAAAGGGCAAGGTCCATCATCATAACCAGAATGACCATTTCCCACCTGATGGAATTGGTGAGTGCCTCTGCAGTTCCTGGGGGAATTCCTGAGCCCAGTGAAGCTGACAGTAGTTTGACATACATTGAATATCTGATCTCTTCTCTGTTTGAAAGCCATTTACTTGTTGCTTGCATGTGGGAATCAGATCTTAGGTTATTAAGTGGACATTTGATATTTCTGAGGCTCTCCCTTTATAGGTGTTGTGTGCACTTATTTTGAAGCCTTAACACAAACACAGTTGTTGGCCTTTGAGAAATAGCTCTGTTTGAAATTTCATCATGTACAGTACCAGGGTATTTGCACTAAAAGGTTTGGACATTATTTTGCATGCACTGTTTTCTGAGGTACTTTGAAGTTAAATTGTGCTGTCATACATCCAGATATTACTGATCATACTTTTGCAAGGTAGCATGCAACAGCTGAATAATTGTGTTATTAATTTGGAAAAGCATTAGTTTAGAGCTTGTCTTCCATGCTAAAGAAAGGAGGGTTATTTTAGTTTTTGATGCAGTGCTTAACAGCTGCTCTGACTGTCAGCATATTTAATTGATTTGGGACATTTTTTCATTAATGCACTTACCAGCTACTGTATCTCAGGTTGTATTTTCTGCCTCTTCAAATTTTTGAAATGGAATACAGGATTTGATTAATGCTTTCTCTTGGTGTATCAGACCTGTGCTGTTAGAGAATTGCACACATATTTTATAAAGATAGATGCTGTTTGGATGAACAAACAAAGAAATAGTCATCTTCATGTTCTTTTTGTGTATATATATATATGGGGAAATCTCCAAGTCCTGTTCAAAGGATAGATCCACACACTGGGACAAGTATTCTATATGTACCTGCTGTCTATGGAGGAAATATGGTCATGTCTGTGCCTTTGCCTGTAAGAATTCATTTTCTGTTTCTCCCCTCTCCCCACCTCAGTTATTGCATGCACATAAATATATGGCAAAAATCAGAGAGTGAATTTCTTGCAGGTTTTTTTCAGCACTCCAAATCTGTGGGTTTTGCTGGCTTTAGGAATGGCAGTGCAGAGAAGCACCAGAAAATAAAGACCTGAAAGCTTTGCTCCCCCAAATAACTCCGGGCAGGCTAAAAGCAATTTCATGTTCGTGTAATTTGGTGTGTTTTAGGCACACCAGTGGAATCTGTCTCATCTGACTTGAGACACCTTCCTCTGAATTATTTGCCTGGTTCAGTTCTTAATCATTGGAGAGACCTCAGTGATTCACACCAAGTCTGTTTATTGGCGTCACACAGTCTAAATTACAAGTTTTGGATGTTTGCAGTGCAAGGTGTCTGAAGTGAAGTGATAAGAAAAATAAGCATAATGGGATGTTTTTCCCTTCCAGAACCTCGTAGTGAACCAGTTTCCTCTCCAATCCCTTCCCTTAATGACATTTGGGAGCAGAATGAAGATCTCTAATCAGGTCTTCTAGGCTACATTTATGCATGGAATTTTGGATTACAAATAAAACTGTCCCACCAAAATTTACACACATTAAAGAAGCAGTCTCTGCTTTATTTTTACCCTTCAGTCAACATATTCCAGGAGGAAAATGCAAGGAAAGAACAAAGGCTGCAGAAGCTTGTGGAGTAACATGTCTGTGTTGTTCACAACTCCTGAACATCGTGGCAAGGATGTGGAACCCACACATGCAGATGTGTTTAATTCCATTCATAATGCTAAATGTTGGAATACAGCTAATTTGGTTTTTTTCAATAATTATGAGTCCTCTGTTGTAATTTGGGTTATGGATGCTGAATAGGGGACTTGCTGTAGTTTCAGTTTTGTGTCTTAGATTAGCTGGCAGCTGTAAATTGGTTTTCTTTGCTAGGCCAAGGAATTTTCCAAGCTTACTAGAAATCTGCATTTGATGGATAAATTTAAATGCAATGAGAAGGCCAGCAGCTGTATCTTTGTCATGCTTGCTCACATTATATTAATATCAAACCAAGGTAATTTAAAAAGCTCTGTCTTATTGTTCCAAGGTTAATGTATTTTTTATGTGTTTCCAATCAAAAGATATGTATTAAAAACAAGTATTTTGAACTCACCTTCCCTGAGGATGGATTTTTAAATAATTAAGTGGGAAGACTGAGGTACTAATGAGACTGCTACTTTTGAAAAGAAGCTTGGAGGTGATTTGGGGTTGTATAGATGCAATAGCAGCCTAAAGCTGAAGTTCAAAGGGCACATTTCAAGGGCAAATAGTAATTTAAAAAAAGAATTGGATGAAAGTTGTTACACTTGAAACAAGCAGGGACTGAAGTAAAATGTGTTTATGTTGGTGGAAGATAAAATGATGTCTTTGTTTAATGCAGTTTCCATAGCCAAGGTAAAAGCTGGAGGAGATTGTCTGCTCCCATCACTAAAAGATGCTTTGGCAGTCTGAGTGGTGGGGATGACTTTCCCTGCACTCTCCTCTTCTTCATATATTTCCCTTCTTTTAATAAATTCCCTACAGGATGAGTTTGAACTCATTTGATGCGGAGCTGATTTCCTTAGCATTCCTTTTAGGAATAAAACTGAAGCCATTGTAAAAAATCCTGACTTTTTACCTGCTTTCAGGAGGTGGATTTTGCTTTGACTCTGCAATACACGTGTCATGTAGCACAGACACTTTGGAGTGTCATTCCCTGTCACTGCTCACCTCTGGGCACTCTCTGGGTTCCACCAATAGTCCTGGGAACTTCACTGTGTGTCTGTGGGTGCAGAGGTGGGCACAGCCCCTCCTGCTCTGGCCCAGAATCCCAGCAAGGGTGCTGCAACATCTGGCCCTCACCTTTGAGTCTTCTCTCTCTGTCCCCCCTGAGCCACAGCCCAATGACTCGTAGCTGCCAGGAGAAAGGGCGTTGTGTTTGCTTGAACTTCACCCATTTCTATTTAATAAGAGAAGAGATTAATCTGAAGTTTATTAAACTGCAATTTGTCTATCAGTCTTTTCTCTCTGAACTTCAAAACCACTGAAACAAGAATGGGTTTTGATAGAAGAATTTTTGCCCAGGGTTCTCCTTGAAAATCTTGTTTTGCCTGCCCTTAGAGCTCTCCCCTTCCAAAACCAGCTGTAGTTGTGTGTGTAAGTGGTAAGTGTGTCAGGTCATCTGGTACATGAAAACCTCTTGTCACTGACCTAATATCAGCATGCTCATTTTCACTGCCTTTAATTTAATGTACCTTAACGGATCACATCTCTCTCTTTTATTTTTATATTTTTTTAAACTTTTATTTAATTTTTATTTTTACTTTTACTTTTGTTTACCACGTAGGTACCATGGACGGGGTATCAGGGTAGGTTTGCAGTCGACCCTCGACTCATTACTCACCAAGCAGCCATGGCATATAACATGAACCTGTTACAGGCACATGGGCGAGGGTCTCCGATCCCGTATGGCCTGGGCCACCACTCCCCCGTTAGCTTAGGACAGCAGCAGCTCCCACACCAGGACAAGGAGCAGCACGAACAAACTCGCAATGGTCAGTGCTTGGGATGCCTCTGCAAACTGCTCTGCTCTGGGGAGCCTTTGTGCTTCAGACAGGGGGCTGTGGGAAGGACTTTCCATCCTCCATCCTTTCTATCCTTCGCCCTTTCCTCCCTGTTTGAGGGATCCACAGATGGGGGAAAGAACCTGGGGTTTGCCATTACAGATGGAATAACTGGGATGCTGTGAGATTCAGAAGGAATGGGAGTTGGGGAGGGGGGTGTAATTGTTCCATCTCCTTTCAGCAGTACCACTGATGTTATTTGCAAGTTGGAATGAGTACTTAGTGGATAATGAACAAAGTGTAGAGATTAAAGGGAAAGTCTTATTTAGGTAGATGATACTAAATGTCTGTGGTGCTGTAAATGCCATACTAATAAGTCAATTTTCCTGTGCCTGGGGAAAAAATATCCCAAAATAATAATTTTTCAATTGAAGCTAAATAATTTTGTAAATGTTTTTAGGTAAAAGTGAAAACACTGCTGGACCTGAAATCAGTAAAATTCGAACACCTGAGAAGAAACCTCTGGAATCCAAGCAGGTGGGTTCCTCTTGTCTGCATTTCTTGTTTGTTTGCTTATTTTTGGGGGATTTGGGTATTTTTGTTTGTTTGTTTTTTATTTCATACTATCTCTTAATGAATTTGATCACTACTTTTAGTCATTCATTCATTTAGTCAAACCGAAATGCTTTTATTTCAGCTTTTAAAATGTGAATTCTCCCAACTTTCTACTCTCCTTTTGTAGGTCGATTTAGAAGCAAACCCTCAGCAGAGAAGCCCAGAGTCCCGTTCCAGCGTTGGTTACCCCAATGCCAAATTCCATCGCAAAGACAACCCCAACCCCAGGCAGCTGAACCTGCACCTGACCCCGCCCCACTCCCAGTTCGCAGTTCCCAACCGCCACTTCCAGCACCTCTCCCAGATCCCGAGGCAGCCGTACCCTCTGCAGCAGCAGCAGCAGCAGCAAAACCTGTTAAGTCAACAGCAAAATCACTTGCCTGAACAACCCAACCAAATGCCACCCCAGCAGAGCCAGGTAGTTCAGCAGCATAATCACTTGAATCAGCAGCCTCCACCACCTTCGCAGCTTTCCCCTGCTTTCCAGGCAGGCCCCAGCCAGTCCTTTTTTAATAATCCCATTCCCCACCGACCACATTCTCCTGCTGTAGATGCTGTGATTTCAGAACAACACCCCCCACCTCTGTTACAAGAAGTCAATAATCCTTTGAGGCCTATTGCACAGCACAACCCTGTTCTGCCAACCCACTTGAACAACTTCATTGAAGAGAATCCGTCAGGAATGCCCTTAGGGGACACTTTAGGTAGGTGACTTTTCTTTATTTAAATTCAGTGTGCAATTATAACTACATTGAAGTGAAAATGAAGGAGGTATTTACCTTTTTCAGGCATATTGCTCTGAATTGGGTCATTGTTGGGTTAGTTTCCATAAGTAATGTCATTGAGCATAATTTGCTGCTAGAGGCATGTTTGAATATTCAGCACTTTATTAGAAAATTCATGTTTATATGATTTTCCATATGATTTAAATAACCAGGTTATGCACTGCAATGCAGTTAGTGTATAATAGACCCTGGAATAAACTGTATAAAAAGTATTATTTTATTTTTTTTTTTTCTGACATAAAGATCTTTAAAAGGGGGCATTAGATAAAATTTTTTTTTAAAACTATTTTTATAGATCGTATGCATGGAAATGTAGCTTTGGAAACAATAAGGCAGCAACAACAAGCCAGGTTACAGCAATGGAATGAACATAATGCCTATCTCAGTCAAGGCACTATTCCATATCAACACCATCACCATCCTCATCTACCACATCTTCCTCAGCAACCAATTGGATTACATCAACAGCAGCAAGTTAGGGCAAACTGGAAACTTGCCAGTAATACAGAAGATGAAACAGAGGCAACATATTCAAGGTATTTGTTTACTGAGTCATCAGAGCTTGTGTAAAATTGAGCAGTGGGCACCTATCTGTAACACTGTGATCAAGTGCAAGGCACTTAAAGGTATTGATTTTTGCTGCTGTTATTATGAAGGTTAAAATAGTTGGCAGGCTGACTTACAACTATGCTTTTATTATGTGTTATGCTTTATTCTGTTAGTATATTGGGTAGTAAAGCTGTAGTGGAAAAATATTTTTATGGAGCTTTTCAGTGCTGTATTTATGGAATAAGGAATGGATAGAGAGTAACAACCTTGTGTTTTTATGAAAGAGGTGTCTGAGTGTAGTTAAGGCCTATTTAAGTTGTAAATTCTTCAGTTTGAAGTAGCAGTCTGAGATTGGTGTGCTTGAAAAGAAACAAAGCAGCCCCTCCCTAAACACTGCTCCCCAGTGAAACCTAAACTTGTCTTCCTTTTCAAAAAACCTTTGCTTTTAAAAGCAGATTTTTTTTAAAAAATGCCTGTATTTAAGATGGAGCTTTAGGGGGCAAGAAAGGAAGCTGTTGAACATCAACAGAAAAATGGTTCCAGTGGTCATCAACTTTAATCATGTATATTGTAAAGGCTGGATTTTTAAATTGCCTCTGTTTACTGTCATCTCCCACTATGCTTTCTTTTCCATCTGGTTTGTTATAGACATGGTAAAGCATCTAAACGCCCTCTTAGCTGACTCTGAAGTGCTGAATTGAATTGGCCTTTTGAAGAAGTTTAAAGTACATTGTGCAAGCAAAGGGGAGTCCCTGATTTTTCTGGCTCTTGCCTTGACAGGGGTTAAAGTTTTCTTTAACTATGTGAACTTTTTACTTTGTATAGTAAAGCAGGAAATCCTTACCTTTAGTTGTCTCTTAAGAGATAACAAAAAATTGATTCTTCTTACTGGAAAGGAAATCTCAAGAGTTATTAAAACTTTGAGATGATTCAGGTGGGTATTTCATTCAATTAATCCTCTTGTGCCTAATTTTTGATTGCTCAGTCGCATCCTTTGAAGTTAGGGTCAGTAAGTGCAAAGATGAGAATATTTAAATTCAGTGTTCTGTTCTGAGTTTTCTGCACCTCAAAAAGAGCGAAATTTCAGCAAAACCATTTTTTTTTCCCCCCCTTCTCTTTCCTTGCTACATTTCTTGTGTTGATGCAGATTCCAGGACTTGCTCCGGGAGCTGTCGCACCGCGATCCAAGCGAGAGCCGGGACGTAGCCGAAATGCCACCCCCCCAGTCCAGACTGTTGCAATACAGACAAGTCCAGCCCCGAAGCCCACCAGCACTCCCTTCTCCTTCCTGCAACTCCAACCACAGCGCCCACTTCCCCAACTTCACTGAGAACAGCAGAGACATTGAACTGCCCACTAACCCAGCATTTCAGCAGCATTTACCCCAAATGTACAACCCCCCTTTCTCAATGCCATCCGAACACATAACCCCATCTCCCTTGAAATACCTGCAACCTGATGGCTCCTGGACTTACACCAACCTACAGCAGAATCACCTCTTGGGGCAGGGCTTTCACTATGGAATACCTCCACTGCCCCACAGGTCGCAGCAGAGCCCTTTTATACAAATCCAGAATCATCAGCACGCAGTCGGTCAGGAGCCATTTCATCCACTCGCATCTCGAGCAGTTTCTGCTTCTTCGCTCCACAGCTTAGAAGAGGTGGGTGTTCTGTCTGCTCTGCACTTGTCCTGTCATTTTAATATCAAATTATGTTGTGAAGTGGTCATGCAAGCAAAACACCTCACGCGTTAAAAGCTCACAGTGGGAATTTCTGTGAGGTGGAATTGTTCTCTGCGTCTCTGCTGTTCACCCTGAGCAGATGCGTGGCTCTTGTCGCCGCAGGTGTAATATTTTCTCTGCTAAATGGGAAGCCTTGGCTTTTGGAATGTTACTCTGGGTTTTCATGCAGTCATTGTTCTGTGTCTGCATGTCATTCATCTGCAGTGAAAATCAACCCCAGCCCAGGTGGAAGCTCTGGACAATCAGCTGGGATGACCCAGCCAATTGATTCAGTGTTGAGCTGTGAATGTGCTCGAGTTACTTCTCATTGGAGACCAGAGCTGTACAGTTGTTCCAACATGGTCCAAAACCTGATTTCACAATCCCACCCTGCCTGCATTAATTTGATACAAAGCCATCGCTTTGTGTGTTGGAAATCAGGGACATCCAGCTGAGGCTGGCTCCAGCACACAGAGCTGGCTCTGTCCCTCTTGTGCTGGGCTCTCAGGGGGTGTGCTGTGAGATGCAGACTGTGCCAGCACATACAGCCAGGACAGGTCACGTTTTGAACAGGAGGTTTTAATCCCTGCTGGAATCTGAGGTGCTAAGGAGTGTATGATGTGTGAACACGGAGTATTCTGAAGCCAGGTTGCATTTCAGGAACGTGAGAATTAATATTCTCACTGACTGCATGTAATCCAATATTTGTACATAAGTGGCTTGTTCTGTGATGCATTTCTATTAAGGTTTTTACAGAAGCTGGGGAGGGAGCCTTGCTCATCGCTGTCTCACACAATACATATTTAATTTGTCTTCTGAAAACAGAAAATATTTAGTATATGAGTCTGAGAAAAATAAGTAAAATTGAATTCTAGTGCATTTTACCAATTTCAGCCTTACACAGATCCAGAGAGGTTAATGGAGTCCTCAGGTCCAGCCAGAGCTGTAGTAAGGTTTGGGTTTATAGACATTTAGAAATTTGATGTCTCAGTCCATTAAGTCATACCACCCTGTATAAAATCTAATACTTTGTGACAACAGTTAATACTGTCAGTACAGCAGGACGTGGGAACAATGGCTTTTCAGCAGTAATAAACCAATAAATATTCCTATAGAGCTTGTGACAGCTCCTGCTATCTGAAGACAAATAGAGTGAGCCTTTATGTAATTAGCGCAAATTCGGTTTAGTTCTTATTTCTTCTTCCTTTCAAAATATGTGACAGAAATGCCAAATGCAGTAAAAGTGTTACAAGACAGAGACTTGCTTATAAACTTTCCAAAACTGCTGCTGCAGCTGGTAGGTAGAACTGAATGCACAAAGAAATCAAAAGGGGGTTTTAGGTGTATTTTTAACAGACGTCCCTCAGACAAGGCTCTTGTCAGGGCAGATTTCTTGACTTTTGGTATCCTTACTAAATCCTCAATCACTATTTATAAAGCTGTTAATTGACTTGATACTTGAAAGCTTTTGCATGTGTTTAGTCAAACCAGATCTGAACTGCACATCAAAGGGAATACTGGAGTTATTCTGTCTGGTTCTCTACTTGCAAGTGTCCAGAACTTTGATAAATTCCTGATTGCTTACCAAAATAGCCCTTTTAAACTCAGTGAATGTATACTTTTTGGGTTGATTTGGTCATTAATTTATGAATTTTGTTTGTTTGTTTTTGTTGTTGTTGAATTTTCTCAGGGGAGTGGATTGTCAGGATATCGAAGTGTTGATCCCTTCAGTGTGGTGACTGAAATAAGATATAACAGTTTCTTTTCATCACTTTTTTCCCCTATTTTTTGTAGATGATATATTAACAATAGTTGGACTCTGCAAGCAAGTTATTTGATGTTTGTTCAGCTAATTTCTTGTGACATTTCATTAGAATGTTTTTTTTCCTGTTTACCAAGTCTAGATTTACCTGTATGACTTTTCTGTTATTGGTGCTCTTGTTAGTCAGTGCAGATGGGAGTAAATACTGTATTTATTGTTAAAAATAAATTGCAATAAAACAGACTTGCTTTGAATCTTGAGAAAGCTTAGAGGGCCCTTAAATCTGAACTCTTGAAGCCCACAGGTTAATTGATGGAGCTCCTGCCATTTTCATCTACATGATCTACAGGGTTTATGGAAGCAAGTAATTTCTGTGGCTTCAGATAAAATTCTCTGCATTATTTCTCCTGAGGGCACTCTCTTCTCCAGAGCATTTGTTTTGTATGTACAAAATCCAGTATACAAATGTATCCTGCTTCCCCAGATCCTGGTGTACAAGTCAGTAACTCATCCTTTGGAAAAGGAAAAGCCATTTTTTTCCTGACTGCGTTGTAAGAACATTCTTTTCTTGCTTTTGTGTGTTTCTGTGCTTCCTTTGCTTCATGTGTAAATGCTGGGTACCTTCCTCCTCACTGTGTGATCCAACTCCCATGTAGGAGTGGGAGATGTAAAGGTTGATAAGAATTAAGACATCTCAGGTGATGTTCTTTGCACTTTCTTGGAAATTCTCTATTTTACGTGATGAAAATACATTATCAGTGACTGCAGTATACAACATATAACTTGAAATGTATTAGGTTTTTTGTAAATGTGAAGAACTAGGGTTTTTTTTGGTAGGACATTTCAGGGAAAGTATTGAATGGGAAAATAGTATTGGATTCATACAGTTGAATCAAAAGAGCAAAAGGCTATTTTATAGTTTGTTTTTTTTTGTTCACAGTATGAACCAAGAGGACCAGGCAGGCCGTTGTACCAAAGAAGAATTTCCTCTAGTTCAGTCCAGGCTTGTTCTGAAGAATTAAACACTCCTCAAGACAGTCTTGGTCAGTGTAAAGAGCTTCAGGACCACAGTAACCAGTCATCATTCAACTATTCCTCCCCTGAGCTGTGGGTGAACTCCTCCTCTGCCCCGTACCCAAACATTCCATGCAACGGAGCCAGCAGAGCCGTTACACCCCGGGAGCTGCTAGGTGGGTACAGCTGCAGCTGCTTCTTTCCCAAAACCAGTTTAAGCAAAGATTTTTGAAGTATTTGTTGCTTCACTTGTTATAGGTTTGCTTGGAATAATCCCATTTCTTGTTAACATCCTGCTCTTCAGCTAAAAAAAGCAGTGCTGTTTCTTAGTCTCCTCCAAAAGCTCCACTAAGCCCAGTCTCTTACAGTGGCTTCAAGTGCACCTGAATTTGTGCTGGAGGGAGCTAAGATGACTGGTGGGATTTATTTGCAAGATAGATTATTTGTTTCCAGAATCAGTGATATTTTGTGTTGGTATTACAGTCTGAGGGAGCAACACATAAACTGAATTAGTGCTCTCAGCGTTTCTCTAGTAAATTCTGGTACTTCATCAAAGGAGTGACGGGTTTAAATTCTCTCTCACCGTGGAAGAATCTCAGTGGAATGTGGCTTCCCTGGTGGTAGCAGCAGTGCTGATTGATTGAGCAGACAGAAACTAAATTAACTTTTCAGAGATGACAAAAAGCTGCAAGGAGAGAGCTGGAGCAGTCCAACTACTCTTCTTCTGTTCTCCGTATTTCTTGTGTTTATGAAAAACAAAATTACCAGGATAGTACAGTTTCCTCCCTGTGATTTTGCTTTAAGAATTTGCAGTGGTAATTTAAAAACAAAATTAATAAAAGTGCAAACAGTATTCCAGTGTGGATATTAAAACCACTTAATAATGTGGAAAAATATTTATCAGCTGGTTTTATTGGCCTTAAAAGATTTAATTGCTTTTCACCAAACTTCATAAACGTGAAACATCTTGTAATTTCATAGTAATTCTGAAGTAGGAACATGCAGTGTAGAATGAATGAGAAAATCTCTTTGTATCAGTGACAGCACTCAAGAATGAAATTCCTAATGTGCCTTTTAATTTCCAAAATGTGAAAATGTTATTTTGGAAACCCGTATTTATGGCAGCATCTTTCATGCAAAGTTCAAAACTTCAAGCTCAGGGCACCTCCTTCAATCTGTTTCTATTTTTACTGAAAATCAAGGAGCTGAATGCACAGTATTATGTGACATTCATCACTGAATTGCTCACACAGAGTTGCTCTGCAGACTCTGTGGTTATCTGAGAGGAGCTCAGGAGCTCTGGCATGTTTATGTTGGGATCAGCCAGTCCCACATTTCTTTGCTTTAATGAAAAGCTTGAGAACCTGTTTTTGAGTAAAGTCCTCATCGAGGGCAGATGTGCATGTAAAAAGTACCATATACACACATTTGCTGTAAAATACTAAATTCTAAGTGAAAATACCAAGTTCTCACTGGTAACTGCATTTGCAATGAAATGTTTTTTATTGTAGTTAAGCATGGTTTCTGTTTTGTCAATACATGTATATGAAACAGAGCTCTGTATCTAATGGTTCATGCAAACACATCTCCATTTTATGGCTGCTATGGCTTTCCACATTTACAGCTCGCTGCCTGTGATCATATTTACAGCCCAAATGTGTTTTATGGAGCTAAGGGTTAATGACCAGTAACTGCAGTGTTCTCGTTACTGTTGGTTTTTATCTGTGAAATAAAACCCCGTGGGAATGTGATGCTGGCAAAGTCCTGTGCCTGTTTTTGTTGCTTGGGAGGGAGTGGCCCCGACTCCAGACTGTTCAAGGGCTCTCCTGCACATCAGGAGTGCCTGTGGCACCAGTGTTGGGTTGGATAAGGAGGGATTTATGGAGCACAGGGAGAGCTGCTGTCAATTGCTCAGGATTGTTCAATGCAGGCACTTCCTAAAATTGGAATTTGATATGCATTGCTTTTTCTGTTGATGGAAAGAAAATGATTTAGGTTCTTATTCAAGATGTGTATTTCATATTTTTCCTTCTGTTAGACACCTCTACCACACACAGCTTTCACCTCTGGTCCTGCTTGTCATTACTTGTCTTCTCTTGAGTGCTGTGGTTATTTTGGGAGGTTTTTTTGCTCGTGTTCTGGGTTGTTTGTTTTTTGTTGAATCATAGCAACCCTAGCAAAATTGCTTTACTTGTGTTCTTTCCAGACCCATTCTTCTATGGGTTGGTTCTGGGTTTGTTTTTTTGTTGGTTTTTTTTTTAAGTGCTCTATAAAAAGCAGAAGCCTGTGTGTGACCCTTCCAGGGAGAAACTTCGTTTTTCTACTTTTGCAGTCATTTGGTGGTACATTTTTGTACATGCACTTTAAAAGAAACATTATATGATTAAAGACTGAAATAATTACAGGATGTATCTGTTGCCCAGTTCCTAGACTATTTCAGATAGAACATGGAGCTGTGTTTCAGTGTAGTGTCTCTCTAGCTGTGCAAGACAGTAGAATTCTCCAGACAAAAGTAAGGGACCTCATTAGGATTCAGGAAATTCACTTGAAAGCAGTTTTATACCTATGGTTTAAAGCACCATTTTTTCTGATAGTTACAGGAGTTGTTAAATGTGGAGCAAGAACATATCAATTAGCAGGAATGCATTCAGCCTGAAATACCAATAATTAGTTGGTTGGCATTCAGGACTCTGAATTGCTGTTGGAGAATGAATTATATATGGTGCTGTAAATTTTAATTTTAGCCTATTAAGCTGTAAAGCAAGAAGAATGAAATACTCTTTGTGCTGTCTCAGTGGATAAAGTGCTTAAATTAGAGTAGATCCCATTTGGGAGCGGCCTCCCTTCGGTGCACCCGGAGAATCCGCTGTGCGGAATTGCCAGTTTGGGGTTTCAGCTCTAGGGTGCAAACACACAGAGGATTTGTTTAGTAATATCAGTCTTGTGCTGCTGCTGAGTGATCCAAGAGTTGGGAATGAAGTTGGATCACTTCAAGGCCAGGTTGGACGGGGCTTGGAGCGTGTTGGTCTAGTGGAAGGTTCTCTGCCTGTGGCAGGGAATGGAGTGAGATGAGCTTTAAGATCCCTTCCAACCCAAGCCATCCTGGGATTGTGTCATTCTATGAGCTTCGTTTGCAGAGTGACTAACCACGGCAGATGGGTGGTGTGGGAGGAGGTTACCACAGGGGTGGTGGCAGCTCTGCCTTTGGGCTTGCTGCAGGTGGATTGGCTGAGTCAGAGCCCTTCGTTTGCTCCAACTCTGGTTTCTCCTTCGCAGCTCCGCCGAAGGCTGCCAAGCCCCCGGAGGAACACCTGAAGGGTGAGAACATCCAGCTCTCCAACTCCTTCAACTACAACGTGCTCCAGCATCTGGGCCAGTTTCCCCCTCTGATGCCCAACAAGCAGCTGGTGGAGTCCAACAGCAGCAGCCCCCAGCCCGCGGGCGGCACCAAACCCGTCATGTCCTACGCCAGCGCTCTGCGGGCTCCCCCCAAGCCCAAACCTCCTCCTGAGCAGACAAAAAAGAACAGCGACCCCCTGTCCTTGTTTCAGGAACTTAGCCTAGGTAGTTCATCAGGTAGCAATGGCTTTTACTCCTATTTTAAATAATCAGATTATTTTTTTTAGAGAGAATTTAATTTTTATTTGTGTCGGTAGATCTAAGATAGTTGGGGCTTCACCTGTAGTTGCAAATATTCCCTTTGTTTATATTGGTAAATATATCCTCACTTAATTGCTTTGCTGCTAGACTTGCAACTAATTTTTTTTTTTTTTTTCTTTAATTATATTCCATTATTTTGCATTTTTTGATGTGGGTCGGGTTTTTGGAAGCTTTTCTGTAGGAAGACACACACGTGTTATTTTTTAATTTGTGTAATGTTAATGATATGTTGCATTAAACTAGCAGCTGAGAGATTACCTGTACAACTTGAAAAAAAAAAGGAAAAAAAAAAAGGAAAAAGAAAAAAAAGGAAAAAAAAAAGTTTGTCTAAATTGTATTTAAGAAGATTGTAAGTAGCATTTACATTTATTCAATAACATTAGCATACTATGCTGGGTTTCTGTACCAGAAATGGCCAGTTAATGTAAAAATGTATGTTATTTCTGCTTAAATTCATTTAATTTTTTTTTTTTTTTTTAATAAAGGTGCAGCATCTTCTAAATAATTTCAGTTTTATCAGCTTTTTTGTGAAGGGATGCTGCATTCTCAGACTTTTATAGTTTTAGATTCTGTATGATGTGGTATTGTATTTTCCATCCACTGTAGGGTAAAGTAAAGGCATTCTTTGCAGACACCTATGCCATTGTTTGGAAACATTCAGATAAAAGTATTGGTATACTTTAAAAAAATAATAAAAAAAATCGAAAAAAGTAGAAAAAAATTAACAAAAAAACCCAAAAAAACTCTACATTTTATTTTTGGACAAGCTAATAATATAAGCTTGTTTGAAAAGTTAATTTGATAGGTTTTTTAAATGAATCATGAAGCTGAAAATAAATTTTTAGGTATGTTGGTGCTTAGTAGATTTAATAACTATTTTAAAAAAAATGCGTGAATTTAGTAAAATACTTTTTTGTTTGTTTGTTTAATTTTTTTTTCCACTATGCATGTGTAAATGTTTGTAATCTGGCTTTTTCCTCCCCTCTTCTCCAGTGGTATAAAGAATTGTGCCGCTTTAATTTTTTTTTTTTTTTTTTTCCGGTAAAACTTTTGGTACATTATTTGATGTTTACATTAAAATGTGACATTATACAAGGAAATTCAGATATTTTGCTAACTGTTTTGTTTGAGGAACATCATTAAAGAAGAGATTTAATGTTTGTCAAAGCTGTATCCAAATTAATCTAAATCTTCTGGGGATCAGAGTGGTTACCAGGTTATTTATCTCCATGAACCTGGCCCTTAAGGAATCCAGTCCGAAAAATTAATTATGGGATATTTAAAAAAAAAAAATAAAAAAAATTAAAGAAACAAATGTGAATGAAAATTCAAAGGATAAAAATTTTGTGGCTAAACATTTCTGGTCTTGCACACTGTCCCTGCTTTGTGACTGGGGAGCTCCAGAGGGAGGTTGTAGAGTTTCTCCTTTATTTCTCCTTAATCCTCCTTTTACACTTGAAAAAACTTTAAATCTGAGAACTGGTTTACAGGGGTGAGCTGGGTGTAGTTCAGAATTCCTCCACTTATTACCTGCAAGAATTGAAATTATAGAGCTGTGAGAGGGCGATCTCAGATTTTTACAGCTGTCCATGGGACGCATTACTGGGGAGCAGTGGCTGCTGCTCTGTTCAATCAGATTTTTGCTCTATTTACAATCAATCAGGTTCATTTTTTTTTGCATTTGACTTCATGTATTAAGGCAAGGGTCATTATGTAATTGGGTTGATTTAAACTCAGTACACTGCAGAGGTTTGCATATGAATTTTTTATTATAAATCTTTGCTGGTTTATGAGTCAGAAACTTATCTGAAAAACTTTTTCCTTATTTTTTGCTGTAAAGCAAAGCTCATGTAACTCCTTAATTTATTTCCTAATGTTATACCAAACAAACAATGCTGGGGAGGAGACAGCCCCTGCCAAGTTCTGCTCAGCACTTCAGCACAGGGCATGGAACCCAGACGACCCCAAAAACGAGGAGAGGCCAAATTCTGCAACCTTGAATCAAGCAAAGCTGCTGTTAAATGGGTTTTTGCCAAGATGCTGGCTGCAGGAATCAGTCCCTGGGAAATTCACTGGCAGAGCTGAGGTGGGCACCCAGTGGAGGGAGGAGCAGGACTGGCAGAGCAGAGCTGGGGATCCAAAGCACTTCACATCCCCAAGTCAGCATTTTGTAATTTCAGGGGTTTCAAAGTCACTCAGTTCTATGGAGCAGCCTTTTGATTCTGTTCACCATTTAATATTGAATATTAAACTAATAAACATCACTTGTTAATTTACTGCTATCTGTCGATCAGTTAAGGGGGGAGATGGTGGCATCTCACCACATTTTATTCTATTTTACACTGGTATTTTATCTACACTGAAAATATTTCAGATAAAATCCCATTTTCTCTCTGAGTTAGAATTTCAGTTCTTTAATTTTATGAAAACCCCAGCTGGTTTTGGTGCTAAATTTTCATAAGTTCTCTCACCCAGGAATTTGAGGATGATAGAGATGATCTGACTTAACAGCTTTCATATGAATCATTTGGATTTCTAAGAGTTCTTTTTTTGAAAACATTACATTTTTTTGAAATGTTTTGTCTGACCATTGTATGTCACATATACAGCCCTGAGTGAGATCTTTGGTTTTTGGAGCAAATTATCCATTGTTTATTGAAGCCATGTTTAGAAACCCCAAAACTGTATTTTTAACTCTCCTAGGGCTTCAATCAAACTCTTATTAAAATGAAATTAAGCCTTACAGATGGCTCCAGTGGGCACTGCTCAGGCTGCACTGTAAATATGGACCTGTTGCAATTACAGGGAAAATTCAAAATTGAGTTTATGTAAATTATCTCAATTTGGGGGAAATGAGTGGAGGCTGGGGCAGATGCACCAACTAGATATGTGGTTCCTTGACATTTTTATGCTTCAGTTAGTGCCAAATCCCATGCTCCTTGTCCAGGAATAAACTCCCCATTGTTTTCTGTGGAGAATTTGAATGACAGATCTAAATTTAGTAAGCTTGTATTTGATAACAAGAGTAATTTCTGGTTTTGTCTTCTTTAATTCCAGTTTTTGGTGAGAAAAATCTGGATGCCTCATGGGAGGTTGTCAGGGTGGTGATAAGAACTAATGAAGAATGAAGGGAAAGATTTAAAGAAATAAATTATTTGGATTCTAAGAAAAAATAATTTTTTTTTTTTGCAATTCAGTTACAGCCTTCACCCTTTAAAAAGCCACTTAGTGAATGCAGCTGGCATGTTTTTCTGGGTGTAGTTGAGGACTGAGTTCTTATGAAACCGTGAGCTTTCCACTTGGCCATCCGAGGTCAGGAGCAGCCGGAGGTGCTGCCACTCCACGGCGAGCTCAGCCTGACCTGGAGCTGATTCCGAGGTAAAATTCACACCTCCTGAGGCTGCAGGAGCTGCCCCTGCTGTCCTGCCTCATCTGGGCTATGCCATGGCACGTGGCTATGCTTGTCCCCAGCCTGGATTGCTCCTGGCCCTGCAGCCTGAAGGACCTGGCAGGCTCGGGCAGAGGTTTGGTGGCACGTCCCTGTCTGTCCTTGGCAGTGCTCTGGCTGCTGGGGACCCTCCACGCTGTGCTGGTGTCCTCTGAAACGCCCTGCAGTGCACGGGGTGTCCCCAGGATGGCTTCAGTGTGTCTCAGGTGTGCCAGGCTCCTCAGAGCCCTGAGTGAGTCGTAGGGACAACTCCCCTCCATCCCCCTTTGTGCTCATGTGGCAGCTCTGAATATTTCCACGAGACAGCTCAGAAATTGCTGTTTTGCATAAAGCTGGCGGGTCAGAACCAAGGCCCCAACATCCATATTTTCTCCTGGAGGTTGTCATCTAATACAGATTGTCCTGGATTTTTAATTGTATGGGCTGTGGTGTTGCTGGCCCTTTGCAGGATGTGAGTCCTGCCACTGACTGCGAACCCTGTGAGTGCCGTTCCCTACTTTGATTAATTAATGTTTTGTTCCCAGATTTGTCAAGTTCAGCTGTTTTTTTTGCCGAGAACGTGCTCTATAAGCAGTTCTTTTGCTATGTATGTAGTACCTCAGTGCTATAAGTAGCACCAAGAGCAGTGTTTGACCACTCCAAATTTTCTTTTTAGACTCAACTCGGGCATATCAGAACCTGCACATTTCCAGGGCAGTGAGCCCACGGTGCTTCATGCCCTGCCCATATCATCCTTCAACTCATTTGTTTTGTTAGTTTTTAAAGGTTCTGGTTTTCCTAGAAAAACTGCAGACAATTAACTTGTCAAGACAGATGGTGATGATCTATGGTGCCTATAAAAATTTGCACATCGTATTCCTTGACATGAAATATGGGCTATTTCTGTTGGTGTAGCAATACTTGAGCCAGTCTCTTTTTGCTGGCTGTGTCAGGGAGCAAGGGCTGAATCCTTCTCAATTTGTTTCTTTTTCTTCCATTCAAGAGAAGTAACAGGATTTGCAGCAGCAGCAATGGAAATGTCAGTTCGGTGTGGGGGTTTTTTGGCAACTTTAGCTGAGAAATGTTGAGGAGTTCTTACCTCATTAAGGATTAATAGATGCTTCTGACAAATTACAGAACGCTCGGTGATATGAATTATCCAAGACTGGTTAAAAGATGTTGTCAGTCCCTTTTCCAGAAGACTTGGCTTCCTGCTGGAGGGTAAATACCTCAACAAGACCGGCTGTGAAGCCATTGAGGTGCTCCCAGGGATACTGGTGATACTGGGCACGAAGCTGAGCCACAGCCTGGGGTGCAGCCTTGCCAAACAGAATTGTGCTGCTGGTTCTGCTACACAGAAAAAAATCCAGAATTCCGAGTTCATTCCCTTCTCTGCATTTTTTTGAAGAAAGCAGCAAAGCAGCTCAGTGTCTGATGCAGAGTGGGAATCTGTGGTGTCTGCATGCCTTGAATTTATGTTCCATAGCTTCAGTGGAGCCCGAGCATCGATCAAGTGTGACAAAACAATGACAATCTCATCCTTACTTCAGTCAAAACGAAGTTGTGACGCTGTTTTCTTGTCCCTTGGTGACAATGGAAAGGGGAAATAATTGGAATGGATGCTTTTAGAGCAGGTCCCACTGCTGTGTGTGTTTTATGGTACAGAGCAGCCTAATACTCCTGTAGTTAAGTTATAAAGTAATGCAGTGTTCCGAGGGGCTCTACTACTGTGGAGGACATTTTAAATTAAGTTCAGGCTGAGGTTTATTCTCTAACAGTGTCTGGCCATGGCCAGATTGCTGTGACTGCCCAGCTGCAGCTCTGGATGGAGCCCAGGGGCTCTGTGTGAATCCCCAGGGCTGGCAGAGCTGCAAACTTCTCCTGACTCCTGTGTCAGGTGTGTTCCTCGAGAGCTGTCAGGCCCATGAGGAGGTGTCCCTCAGGGATCTCATTGTAGGGGGGGAAATTCCCAGATCTTTGGGACTTCCTGGAAATCATTTCCACAGCTGTCAGGGTGAGGAGAAAAAGGTGATGGCCACAAGGAAGTCACAGAGTAGAAAGAGATCAGTGAAAACCAAAGTAAATTAATAAATATTTGTGCCTTTGTAAACTATGTTAGGGTGACCAAACACCCGAGCATCCTGCATGTGCTTGGACTAAAGGAGAAATAGGGGTGTGTGCCAGGATTTTGGGGTGAAATCCTCTCTCATGCACCCATCTGTGCTGCCTCGTGTGCTGAGCTCCTCTCCCCCACTCGCTGGTGCTGGGCTGTGCCTGCAGAACCTGGTAGTAGATGAAGGGTGTTCAGGAGCTCAGCTTGCTGCTAAACAGGCAGTTTTCTTCTTCAGGGTTGCTTGTCTGACACCTTTTCTGCACATTAAATTCACACAGCACAGCATTTAAAAACAAGGGAAGCAGATTCTCTCCACGCCTCACAGCAAATCTTACATAAACAAAAAACCTTCACGTCTTCTGTTGCGTTGACTGTGATTTAACACTTGGGCTTTGGCAGAGTGGAGCAGCCCAAATCTCAGCACTTGACTTGGACAGGTCCCTGGGGCACCTCTCTGTGGCTGTCTGGGGAGGGGACAGGCACTGGTGTTGGATTAGGAGGTGCCTGTGACTGAAGGTGTCCGTGGGTCTGGCTGTGGCAGAGCCAATGCTCAGGATTTCCTGATGGCTGGTGGTTGTTCCTTATTCTGCAGATGGATTTGCCTCTCCCTCTCTCTGGTGCTTGTTTCCCACTCAGTTCTTTGGCTGGGTCCCAAACCCAGGAGTGCTCCTGTTGGGTGTGTAGCAGCCAGGTTCCCATCCCTGTTTGGCTCTGGTGACTCCCTGCTGGTGAGGACATTTCCTTCACATTTTCATGGCACATTCCTGAGGTTCTGGTGGCTCTTCCTTGCTGTTTGCTCAGCTGAGAGAATGAAAACAGAAACTGGTTACAGCTCCCCCCTCTAACATTATATTCCTTTTCCTTTATGAAGGCCAATTACTTTTATTAACTCTCTTAAAACACATTATCAGCTCTCTGGCAGAACAAACCTGCTGCAGGAGCAGAGCCCTTCCCACTGTGAATACCAATGACCAATTTAATGGACGGGTCCCTCTTCAGCAGTTCTTAGTATCTGGAAGAAGAAAAATGAAGTTACCCATGTGCTTCTCAGTCTGGCAGGGATCATACAGAACAGGGAATGATCACAAAGCCTCAGCCTGGAGCAGAAAGAGAATAAACTCAGTGAGTCTTAAGGGCTTTAGGAGGCATCTGGCTGTGGGTGTAGGATCTCGGTGCTGTGAGCTGTGTGTTTTCTCTGCCTCGTGAGTAAAGTGATCTCAGAGAGGCTGTAAAACCTTGGGTCCAGGCCAAGGCCCAGCACTCACCAGGAATCTTTCCACTGCCCTCACTGGGGCTTGGATGAAGCGTGTCAGGAGTGTGCAGGAGATGGGTGAGACCTTCCAGGGTGTGTTTATCTGAAATGTGCATGTCTTGCTCTTGAATATCAGGAATGGAACTAAGCAGCATCTTGGCTGGGCAAAAAGTTGGCCCATCAGCATAAGAACCCAGCTAGAAATGACTTTCTCCCAGCAGAGGTACTGAAAGAGAGGGATGGCACTTCAGGAAAGATGTGGATGGGTGAAGGGCTTCCCAGGGATGCAGGACATGCCACTGCTCTGTGTGGGATGATGAGCTCAGACCTCTGTCCCCAAACCTTGCTTATCTCAACCCATGGCATGGGTGATGATGATCTGAGGTGATTATGATGGCTGAGCTGGGAATGCTGTTGTTCCTGTTTGCTTGGGGATGCAGCTGTTCTGTTTAATCTTTGCTGTGTTGGTTTGGATGTCCCAACC